AGCCAAACCTTAACGAAGTAACTTCCATGAACTGTTTTCAGAATTCAGTTAACATTTTAAATCTGAATATTGTAAGTTGTGAGCACTTCCTAAATAATAGAAATTTGGGTATGATACATGGTTATCTATTTGCCATTTAATAATCTGAGTTATTTAGTATCAAGGAAGCACATATGGGTTTTGTTGTTAGGTATCTGGGGAAAACTTCAGCATTTGGTCTTTGAAGTACAAAGCGCAAAAGTAACATTTTGGTTCAAAATTTCAGTGATCAACTAGAAAGTTAGGCATCTTCCTTGCACCTCTGAGGTATTGCACTGAAACACTGAAATTTTAAATTCAATTTTCAGATCCACACTTCGTAATTCAAATTCCAAATGTTGTAGACTTGCTAAAGTGTTTGATATGTACCTAGCTTTAAATTCATTAAACTTTCAAGCACCTGACTTGATTATAATCAGCCTTAAAATATTACAAATAACTTGAACAGAAATTAATGGTGCCATTTAGTTCCTTTTACACGCTTGCAGAATATGAAATGTAGAATTGAGGGCAATACACGCACACAGTGGATTTCAACACTAGAAACTATTCCTCTATATACTACCGATTCTTCTCTTTTACTATTTGATTAAATCATTCAGTTTGAAGGCTGTTTGATCAAATCTCCAAATCAGATTCCCTTCTCCCAATCCAATTGCCAAATCATTCTGATTTGATGATTTGGTTGATTTTCAAATAAACATCCTTTCCAAAAAGGTTGAATCAACATTCTGAATTATGGATATGAATCAAATCAGGGATAGTTGATACATCATTAATATACACAGTGGATCTTTAACATGTGTACATTTACCATTTCACTATTATCTTGTTAATACAGCAGGATATGAATAAGATTAAGAGTGGTTGATACTTCACTAATACATGCACTTGGTTTTTAATATATACACCCACATTTGCTATTTCACTATAACCTAGAATAATAAAGCACTGTTTCTCAGCCTTGATAAATTTATGATATGTGGACTTTAACTCTCTGAATTCCCCAGCCAGCATTTCAGGAAAAAAAGCAAATTGCCTTTCAACAACAACAACAACAAAAAAAAAAAAAAAAAAAAAACAAATTCCAACTTTAGGACCAACTGAGTTGTTCCTCCCTGCTTACAAAATATCAGAATTGACACCAGACCCATCTGCTCTTGGAGTTCGTGTATCATCTCAGCTATCCTGAACATCTATGTCCATCACAGCTGGCCAGCAATGTGGAGATCACCAGATGTTGCATTCTATCGCCCAAACAATTCTTTTTTTTCTTCCCATTTCTGTGTCTTATTTTGGGGGGAAAGAAGCTTAGCCAAAAATTATCTTAATTCTTGTTATTCTTTCAATTGCTCAAGCTGAACTGTAATGTCTATAAATGCTTCAAAAAGAAAATAGTTCTATAAGTCCTATAAACAAACAAATAAACAAATACAACATACTTACTGGTGTTTAAACTCTGTGCCATTGAACCATTTCCAGACCTGATTAATTTCTCTTGAGAGACCAAACCAATAATGAAAGGGATGGAAAATTTCCACCCAAAAATCCTAAAAGGGGAAAAAATGTATAGTATAGTAAAATCCTTATTTAGCACATTAATTGGAGAAAGAGGCTGTTATGTTCATTTCTACAAGAACATAAAATTAAGATAATATTAACCTATTAATTGAATTGATGTATACAGTCATATGAAAAAGTAAGTACACTCTCTTTGAGTTCTATGGTTTTACATATCAGGACATAGTAAAAATCAGCTGGTCCTTAGCAATTCTTAAAAGTATGCAAATACAACCTCTGATGAACAACAACACATGACAGTGGTTCTCAACCTGTGGGTCGGGACCCCGTTTGGGATTGAACGACCATTTCACGGAGGTCGCCAAACAATGCAGTCCGCCATTTCCCCCCCCCCCCTTTTCCTTAGCTGTGCTACTCCCTTTTATTCTATTGGCTTTTGAAAGCCAATAGAATAGACTCTCTTGAATAGAGTCTAATTCTATTGGCTTTCAAAAGCCAATAGGAATTGTCCAGGCTGTCTCTGCCCTGCTGAGCCCGCCAAAAGTGCCATTCTGCAAATGGTGCTGCACCAGTTGAGCAGTCCTCGACTTATGACCGGTTGAGTAGTCCTCGACTTACGACCGGTTGGGGGTCACGGCATTAAAAAGGTTGAGAACCACTGTATTATACCATGTCATCATTTATTTTATGAAAAAAAAAAAATCAAAATGGAGAAGCCCTGTGGGAAAAATGAAACACACCCTTACTGCTTCTAGAGAGGTATGAAGGGGCTAAGTAGTAACCAAGTGCTGTGTCAATGCTAATCAAGTGCCCTTGATCCATTGATCATCAGCAATTGTGAGTAGCTCTATAAAAGGCAAAGTTTTAGGTCTCCAGCACTGAGGTGTGTGTTAGCACAGTGATGGCGAACCTTTTAGAGACTGAATGCCCAAAAACCACCCCCCCCGTCCCCGCTCCACTGTGCCCGCTGGACCACCCACCACCTCCATGGCCTGCCACAGATCACCCAGGCAGCCCAGCAGCATCATGGTGGCCACGCCCTCCACCCGTACCCTGCAGCGCAATGGGCGGAGTCTTGCCCCCGCTGCCTGGCTACCATGTCCTTGGCTGCGCAGCATTGTGTGGGCCACCCAGGGGCGACTCTCCTCCAGAGGGCTGCTGGTGAGGAGGGGGCTGTGGGAGGGGCTGGGGCAACGGTGCATGTGCCCACAGAAAGAACTCTGAGTGCCGCCTCTGGCACTCATGCCATAGGTTCGCCACCACTGTGTTAGCACAATGCCAAAGAGTGAAGACACCAGCAATGATCTTAGAGAAGCAATTGTTGCTGCCCATCACTTTGGGAAGGGTTATAAGGCCATTTCCCAATAATTTAAAGTCCATCATTCTACAGTGAGGAAGATTATTCACAATTGGAAAACATTCAAGACAGTTGCCAACCTTCCCAGAAGTAGACGTCCTAGCAAATTCACTCCAAGTTGAGACCATGCAAATGTTCAGAGAAATTGCAAAAACTCCAAGAGTTACTCAGCTAGCATGTTAAATATTAAAGTTCATGACAGTAGACTTAGAAAAAGACTGAACAAGTATGGTTTGTTTGGAATGATTGCCAGGAAAAAGTCTCTTCTCTCTAAAAAGCACATGGCAGCATAATTGGTTTGCAAAGTTGCACCTGAACAAATCAAAAGACTTCTTTGGAAGTCTTTGGACAGACGAGACCAAAGTGGAGATATCTGGCCATAATGCACAGTATCACATTTGGTGAATACCAAACATAGCATATCAGCAGGACCATCACATACAAGCAAAGTGGTGCAAAGATGATGCTTTGGGTTAGATTTGCATCCACAAGACCTGGACACCTTGCAGTTATTGAGTCGACCACGAACTCCTCTGAATACAAAATATTCTAGGGTCAAATGTGAGACCATCTGTCTGATAGCTAAAGCTTGGCTGACATTGGGTCATGACAATGATCCCAAGCAGACCAGTAAATCTACAATAGAATGGCTGAAAAAGAAAAGAATCAATGTGTGGCAATGGCCCAGTCAAAGTCCAGATCTCAACCTGATTGAAATGCTGTAGTGGGAATTCAAGACATCTGTGCATAAATAAATGCCCACAAATCTCAATGAACTGAAGCAACATTGTGAAGAAGAATGAGCCAAAATTCCTCCCCAACGATGCGAGAGTGATAAAATCATACAATCAATTACTTCAAGTTATTGTTGCTAAAGATGGTTCTACAAATGATTGAATCATAAGGTGTTCTTACTTTTTCACATGATTTCTCCATTTTGGCTTCCTTTTTGTAAAGTAAATGACATGGTGTAATATGTCAGGTGTTGTTGTTCATCTTAGGTTGTATTTACCTAATTTTAAGAACTGCTAAGGACCAGATGATTTTTACTATGTCCTGATACGTAAGACCACAGAACTCAAAGAGGGTGGAATAATTTTTTCACATGACTGTATGTAACTACCTTGTCAAGACAATTTCAGATAGAGTGGGCTGGTCTGTTATTCTGGGGAGATAACTTCCCAGAAACTGAGAAATTAGGCTGTCCAAGAATATGTGGCTGGACACCATCAGAGCTGACACTAGCTAGAACATAGAAAAAAAATCAAAGAAGTAAAGCAAGATTGGAAGATGTGGGGACCTGGCCCACAGAACTGCCAAGAGTCAAACAGGATTGAATGGATAACAACATCATGATCAATGGCTTCTGGATTTTTTAATCCATTCTTTAAGTTAGCTGAAACTGTTGCAATGTAAAATATCATTTGGATACCTTGAGGGCATACACAGACAAACAGAATGAGAATTTTAGTAATATATTGATAGTAACAATAAATACAATAGGACTGCTTTTTATATGTGTGAATGCCAGGACAATTATCGAATTAAGAATGATGTCTAATTATTCCTTACCAATTCCTTCTGTGTATCAATCACAGCCAAGGATGCATTAAATGAAGAGCAGGTCTTTAAACTGAGAGTCCAATTCTTTTCTTCTTTTGATATGTAGAAACATTTTCCTCTATATCCAATCCAGAAATCAGGGCAGGCAGCATTTACAATGGAAAGGCAAGGCAGACACATTTTTGTTCTATAAACTGGAAAAAGAAAACCAAAATGGCCAAATCTTAGAGCTCACAATTAACTACAATTCTGACAACATAGTTTGACTAGTTAATATTAATCTACCTCATTTAAACTGCAATTCCAGGATATAAGGAAACCAAATGAGTTAACCTGTAAATACAGCTAGTGTTAAGTGGAGAATATCAGAAGCCAAGGTGATTCAAATGAATACAAGTTTATTTCATGTAAATCCTCTTTATTGCATGTAGATTGCATGTAGATTCCCAGAAGTAGCTGAACTACCAACAGTAAAAGCAAATTGGCAGTAGATCAGAGTCAGTAGAATTCAAGGTGGGGTGGACTTAAATCTCTTGTGGGTGCAAAGGGACTTGAGACTGATGATGTGCTTGACCCCTCCCCCAGGGTCAGCCTGGTCATCTCCTACAAACAGTTCTCAATTACCAACCACATTTGGGCCTAGCAATTCCATCACTAAGAATAGGCTTCTAAAGTGAAAAATCACATGACTGCCCAAGTTATAAAGGCAGTTAGTTGTCAGTTTCAGCTGCACTGAAAGACATCACCACAAGCAACATTACATGACTGCAACTTGCGACTTCCCCATTGACTTTGCTTGTCAGAAACTGCCCAAAACTAGAACTAGTAGATGAATTTGTGTACCTTGATAAAAATTTTATTAAAAGTGGGAAATGGATAGAGAAAGTTTAAGACTGCAAATACTGATAAAAAGGAAGGAGAGGATATGTGGTCCATTGTAGGGAATAAATATCAAGAAAAGTAAAAATAATTACTAAATTATTTAGTAATTTGTTTAAGTAATGTATCTAGATTTATTTGTATTTTATACTTTTCTTAAGATTTTTTGAAGAAACTCTAATTAAGCCTATATCCAGCTCTGGGATAGTCGGGGGAGGGAAGGGGAGGGTTGGGGAGGGATGGGGAAAATTGTTTTGTTTTTGTATTGTAAAATCTTATAAATTTTCAATAAAAAAAGTAAAAATAGCTTGTGAATAAGAGTGTAGTTCTACCTATTTTCTTGTGTTCTTTGAAAATGCTATCAAATGGGACTTAGGAGGTGCCTTTTCTATTGTGGTGCCTGCCCTCGGGAATTAGAGCTGTGACGATGCAGCGATTAGAATGCAGTATTGCAGACTAATTCTGTTGACTGCCAGCTGCCCCCAGTTTGGCTGTTCGATCCTGACCAGTTCAGGGTTGACTCAGGTTTACATCCTTCTGAGGTCAGTAAAATGAGGAGCCAGATTTTGGGGCCAATAAGCTGACTATGTAAAACTGCTTAGAGACGGCTGTAAATCACTATGAAGTGGTACATAAGTCTAACTGCTATTGCTATTAAGTTCCCCCCAGCCTGAGATCAGACTGGCCTGACTTGGCTTTTGGGAAAGCTCTGAAGACCTGGCTATTCTCTTGGGCTAGGATGCTACATGAGTTCTCCGGGGAGGTATAATAGATGTTGGTGTGTGACCAACTGTGAACTTCATTATTATTTTATTTTGTTAACCAAATATATTGTAATTTTATTTCTATAGCTATATGTTGCCTGGAATCCTACTTCTTGCAAGTTGGATGACCATGTATATTCTTTAAATTAGTGCTCCCAAAACTGTTTCTTTAATCACGCAAAACCATTTATCTGAAAATCCTTTTTATCCAATGTAGGGTACTCTAAGTCAATTTACCATATATGCCGGCGTACAAGGCGACTTCCGCAAGCGTTAAAATCATCGCCAAAGATGGGGGTCATCTTATACGCCGAGTCGTCTTAAACGCTGGAAATACTGGTAGTTTCCGGCGTATAAGACGACGTTCTAGGAATGCGGCTCGGCGACAAAGACGGGGGTTGTCTTATATGCCAGGTCGCCTTGTACACCGGCATATACGGTAAATGTCTCTGTTGGGATGAGGACTTCAACTCCCAGAATTCCACAGCCAGCGTTGCTGGCTGTGGAATTCTGGGAGTTGATGTCCACATGCCTTAAAATTGTCAAGTTTGGGAAACACTGGGATAGGGTAATAGGTTCTTATGTCATTACCCAAATTACCCAAAGGAAAACAACTTTCACCCGATATTGGGTAATTCACCCAGGTTTGGGTAGCATTGCTTAAAACAAAATAAATAACTAAATATGGAAGTGAGAATTCAGCATGTAAGGAGAAACATAAAAGTAGATTACCATATATTCCGGCGTATAAGACGACTGGGCATATAAGACGACCCCCCAACTTTTGAGAAGATTTTCAGGCTTTAGAAAGTCGTCTTATACGCCGGAAAATACGGTACAATATTGAATTTCTGTTTATAGATGAGCACAATAGGAGCTCCATTCCTTTGTTGCTAGAAAGCGAGTGTTGCCCACCACTGCTTCCCTAATGCTTCCTGAACTCAGCTGGTATTTTTTCCCCATATATTTTATTGATTTTTTAAAACATAAATCACTTAATAGTTGGTAAACGGTGTGTTTGCTGGGTTTACATTTGTAAAGAAAAATTTAAAAATTTAAATGGGATTTTTGAATGCTTTGTCCTGCTGGCTGTGGAATTCTGGGAGTTGAAGTCCATATGCCTTAAAATTGTCAAGGTTGAGAAACACTGTGTTAGTGCTTATTTCTGCAAAAAAAAAAAAAAACAAATAGGGCTGGCCACTAGGGGGCAGATTGGTTTTAAATTCAGAGAACAGCTACTCGGCGTATAAGACGACCCCCGACTTTTGAGAAGATTTTCAGGGTTTAGAAAGTCATCTTATACACCGGAAAATACGGTAGCTATCATAGTGAGGGAAGTCAACTCCCCAGAGAAGAAAATATTAAAAGGGCAGAAAAATATATTTCCTCAAAAGGATTTTAAAAGCAGAAACCAACCCTGACCCCAAGTCTCTCTGTCCCAAGCAGAAGCCAGCTCTGTACAAATGCAGATGTAAACCACCAGAAAGGCCCCAGGTAGGACATCAAGAAGACAAAGACACCTAAAATCTGCATACCCCACCTGAGACAGGACATGGTAGGATTAACTCACAAAGGCGAAAGGGCACACCCAGACTCAGGTCAGAATACATGACACAGGAAATACAAAGCCTAAAACAGGAACAGGAAACTATTTCAAACAAAAAGGCTTTCAGAGAGTATAAAAACTTACTACCCTCATGTGCTCAGCTTCTTCTCTCTCCTCTTTCCTGCCAGAACCATCTTTCGGTCTGGCTCTTCAATAAACTGCAACCTTCTTTCTAAAGCAGTCGCCACGTTGTTTATTTATCCTCGGCTTGGATGAACCAGGATGAAGACTTTTCTTTCAACAATTGGAAAAGACCAAATTTGGTGTAGTGATTAAGACATCAGGCTAAAAACTGGGAGACTGGGAGTTCTAGTCCTGCCTTAGGCACAAAGGCAGCTGGGTGACCTTGGCCAGTCACTTTCTCTTAGCCCAGGGAAAGAGTTGGAGACAGGGGCAAGCTATTTCCAAAATCTTGCCACACAAACTGCAGAGACTTGTCCTGGCAGTTGCTAGAGTTAAGATTAACACAAAGGCATCATTAAAGAACTTCTCAAAAAAGCTACACTAGGAATGGATTACGTGAGTGTGTGTGATAAAACAAATCAAATGCAAATTTGTTTATGTTGGATTGGGCAGTCTTCTTTCCTTTCCTCTATTCACTCTGTATCTGCTTTGGCTTGTCACATAACAATCTTCTCTTCCTGGGACATTTGTGAGAGTGTCAAAAAAAAAGAAGTCTAGATGGCAATCACAGCAGTGCAATTAAATTCCTGCCTTTTGGATACGCAGGCAACATTTGACACATGTACAAAGTCTAATTTTCAACTGCACTGCAGCAATCCTCATCTTGACTCATTTGACGTACCTCACCCCCAGTTGCTGCTTTTTCCTTCCAAATTGTTCTGTGGTTTAGATTCATGCATGTGGTGATCTTCATTTAAATGATAACAGCAGCAGCAACAAAACTAAGGAGAAAGTTAAACAGAAATGTCTCTTTACTTACCAGCCACTGAAATTGTAACAACGATCAAAGCTGCAATTACAACAGCTACTACACTGAATTTTTGGCACTTAGGTTTGACCGCTGAAAAATAGATAGGAAAATATTAGGAGACGAAGTTCATAATTTTATTAAGACTGTTTAGATTTGTTAATGTTTTATTGTTTTATAAGCGACTCAGGGTTGTAGTCAGACTACAGCATAGTAAGTTAGATTTTGTTATCTAACTTGCAGCTGTTGATCCCACCAAGATAAATCCTGAATGTCCCTCATATCCTTCTCTCTCTCTTGATAACAAAGGTGGGGAACTATGGTCCTTTTATGACAAGTCATAAGGAAAGAATAAAGAAGCAGTTAGTCTGATTTCAAGGACCATAGAAGCACAGCCTTGGTGTCTGTTATGCGTGACCTTCAGATTTCTTTCTCCACAGAAAAGATAAAGTGGATCAGGAATGGCTTACACCCTCCATCCTTCTCATAGCTGTGAGACACACAAAGTCAATCTCAATCCCACTACTCTTAAATGCCGAACAGCTCTGACGGATGAGAAAGCTTGGCAACATTTGTGAGAGTGCTAAGTCCAAGTCCAAAAATTCTGTATCACAAAATACAATTCAAGTGCTGCATAGAGCAGTGGCCTCCAACCTTTCGGGCACAAGGGACTGGTTCTGTGGAGTTTTTCTGCAGACTGGAGGGGGGGGGGCATGGTTTGGTGCGCTGCCTACATCCCATGCATTTGCTTGTTGCATGACCCAGTTTCTGGCATGCCACAGACCAGTGTGGTTCGCAACCCGGGCCTTGGGGGATCCCTGGCAGGGGACAGCAGTGAAAAACAGAGCATGCCATCCCAACCTAATCATCAAGACCAATGGTTAGAATGCAGTACTGCAGGCTACTTCTGCTGACTGCCTGCAGCCAGCAGTTCGATTTCCACCAGCTCCAGGTTGACTCAGCCTTCCATCCTTCTGAAGTTGGTAAAACGAGGACCCGGATTGTTGGGGGCAAATATGCTGGCTCTGTAAACCGCTTAGAGAGGGCTGTAAAGCACTATGAAATGGTATATAAGTCTAAGTGCTATTGCTATCTTCTCCGAAAGCATTACAGCAGTTAACCAAATCTTGTTCTTTGAGACGAAGGTATTAACATCAATTCTTTCACCCTTGGATGGATGATCTGAACTTATGTCTCCAACAGTAATAGCCAAGTCAGTGGCAAGGTTTCTGTCCTGAAGGTTATGTGGGAAACTCACCAAACCTACTATGTTGGCCAAAAGTCAGTTTTGTGTGAGATTTTTTATTTTCAAATAGAGGAACATCCCAAATTCCTCTCCTCAAAACCAGGGAAAAAAAGTAAAATAAAATCCTGAATTTTGCACAGGGTGGCTCAGCTTCACCCACTCTGTTTCATTACTTCTCCCTCCAAGATTACAAAGGATCCCAGGCAGATTGTCTAGCTTTGTTCTTACCAGCATTACATGGACTCTCTGCATCAAAGCTTCCAGGAGAAGATGTACTTATGATATCAGTAGTCAAACGATCACAAGCTCCAGAAACTTCTTCTACCAAAATTGAAAGGCAAAAGACAATTCATAAAGTTAGGCTCTAGTTTTGCTATTGAGAAGACGCTGCCCCCAATACCCAACCAGACTTCCCTTTCTCAGACAAAACCACTTGAAAGATTTTAAAATAGCTGAAACCTCACAAAATCCTCAAATCTTGCATTGCTGAATATTCACAGGCAGAACTCAAGGTGACTTGCTAAAAATCTCATGAGAGTTGATCATCTTGCAAGATTTCAGGTAACTATAGTTGTAGGAAAAACAGGGCCTAGATCTGGGATATTTCTATTGCTTTTGTGGTGTACATTGGAAGATCTCTGCTTTTGCACAAGCAGGTATATATGTTGCTGAATTCTATCTGAAACTGACACTCCACACAGAATCCAAGATGTGAAAGTCTCTGATTTGCTTAACAAGCCTCTTAAAGCTTAGAACAGTGATGGCGAACCTTTTAGAGACTGAGTGCCCAAAAACTGCCCCTGCCCCTGCTCCACCCCCTGGCCCGCCTGCCCGCAGGGCCACTCACCGCCTCCAGGGCCCGCCACAAATCATCCAGACAGTCCAGCAGCACTATGGCAGCCACGCCCTCTGTCCGCATCCCGCAGCATCAACTGTGTGTGATGGGGCATGAGGGAAGAGTCTTGTCTACGCTTGCCTGGTTGCCATGTCTTTGGCTGCACTGCTCTGCATGGGACACATTCGGGAGCAACTCTTCTCCAGGAGGGCTGCTGGTGAAGAGGAGGTCACGGGGGAGGCAAAGCTGGGGCAACGGCATGTGTGGCCACAGAGAGGGCTCCGAGTGCCGCCTCTGGCACCCGTGCCATAGGTTCACCACCACTGGCTTAGAAGATCATCTGGAACAGTCCTTTCAGCTGCTCTTCCTGGTTCATCAAATTTAGAGTATTTGGTTCCAGTACAGTTCTTACCATAAAAAGCAGGGATGACTGAAGAAAACAATCCTACAGGTAACCATTTCTCTTACCAGTTTTCCCCAATTCTAGCTTGAATCCAGTTATCTCCAGATATTCAGATCAAAACTTTTCCCAATTCAAGTTTGTTTTTTCAACGCATGCCTGGCTTACTTATTGTGATTCCTCCACTTAGTAGCAACCAATGTTTTTAGCCATATAATCAATAAAGAGTTTTTCTCTGACTTCATTAGTACCCCAGGGCTTTTCTCCTGCTTCCTGTAGTTCTCAGCTAAGTGTAAGGAAGGTCTGAATGCCTCACCTGCAATTATTCCTGGCATCTTCCAAACTTTCTGTGTTACAAAAAAATATCAGGGTTCACACTGCATGGAAAGAAAAGAATTTACTGTACTCATCCCTGCACAGGAACATATATGTATATTTATCACATTATTTTTTTAGAAAGTATGGCAAGGCTATGGATCAGAAAAATGCATTTTAGGATATAGACACAAATGATCTATGTCAGTGGTTCTCAACCTTTTTAATGCCGCGACCCCCAACCGGTCATAAGTCGAGGACTACTCAACAGGTCGTAAGTCGAGGACTATCAACTGGTGCAGAACCATTCGCAGAATGGGACTTTTGGCGGGCTCAGCAGGGCAGAGACAACCTGGACAATTCCTATTGGCTTTTGAAAGCCAATAGAATTAGACTCTATTCAAGAGAGTCTATTCTATTGGCTTTCAAAAGCCAATAGAGTAAAAGGGAGTAGCACAGCTAAGGAAAAGGGGGAAAAATGGCGGACTGTGTTGTTTGGCGACCCCCGTGAAATAGTCGTTCGACCCCAAATGGGGTCCCGACCCACAGGTTGAGAACCACTGATCTATGTAATACAACAGAAAACAAGTGATCAAACAATAAAAGACGCTGGTTTACATGTGTGACTTGACCAATGCAAAACATTGGTTGTAGATAATATTCCCAAAGTGGCAAATTTACCTTGCATTATTCTTTCCCAGCTGGGTTTGTATCTTTCTTAAAATTTGCAAACTTATTCAAGGACTTTCAGAATATGCTATTGTGCAGTTGCCAAAAAGTAATTCTCACATGCCAAAGAAATGTCTTTGGCTAAGAAGGGAAAAATGTGTTTTCTTAAAATTTAAAAAAAACATGCAAATATCACATTTTCAAATGCTAATAATGAAGTCTGAAATTTGAGACAATAAGCCACCCTATTCTTAATGCCTGTGACTCACAACAAAGGCTGTTCCATGGAAAAGAAAAATCAGTTAGGTCATGCCAAATATATTTACAGCAGGATCTATAGTACAATACAACCCAGTGAAGACTCAAATGGGCTGCATGGAACAATACAGGTAGTCTTCGACTTACGACCACAATTAAGCCAATTATTTATGTTGCTAAGTGAAACATTTGTTAAGTGAGTTTTGCCCCATTTTATGACTTTTCCCACATTTGTTATGTGAATCATTGCAGGTGTTAAATTAGTAATTAAGTGAATCTGGCTTCCCCATTGGCTTCACTTGTCAAAAGGTTGCAAAAGGTGTTCATGTGATCTGGGGACACTACATAGTCATAAATATGAGTCAGTTGCCAAGCATATGAATTTTGATCACACGACCATGGGGATGCTGTAATGGGTGTGTGAAAAACGGCCACTTTTTTCAGTGATGTTGTAACTTCCAATGCTCACTAAACATATGGTTCTAAGTCGAGGACTACCTGCATTTAAATGGGCAATATACTGAAGAGTTTATAAGGTTGACTACCCTTCCATCCTTCCGTTGTCGGTACAATGAGGACCCAAATTGTTGGGAGCAGCATGCTGACTCTGTAACTGCTTAGCGAGGACTGTAAAGTATTATGAAGCAGTATATAAGTCTAAATGCTAGTGCTATACACCACAGTAAGTCTCTTGAATTGGGACCAGAAAGTTTTGAGTAAGGTTAAAATAAATGTTATCCTTAGTAACCTTAATGGACTTTTGCTGCCCAGGACTGAAAAATGATGCTTTAAGGATTTGTTTATAAATAAGAGGTGAGATATGGGAATAAGAGATCTTCCACTGAAATAGTAGAGAAGGTGATAAGTTATTAAAATATATGTGAAGTCATTTCTTTAAACATTTCTTTCTTTCCTTTCCTTGCACATTCTAATTCCTTTTTTAGTTGGTATTAGTTCTTTTTAACTGCAACGTTCAGTAACATTATTACAAAAGTGCTTTTTCTTCCACGTTCTAGTCAACAAAAAGCTTCATAGAAACCTCATTACAAGCCTGGAGTAAATATACTCACCAAAATGTACTGCAGTACTAAACTAATCCTACTAATTGTTGCATAATGTATATCATTAACACGTGTATGATCCAACCTAGTGTACCCCGTTTGCAAAATAAAGCCCCAAAACCCAGAGAAGGGCCTACATAAACTCTAATCACCACAAAGTTATTGTTGGGGGGGAAAAACCCATGCGCGATTAACCTCACACTAAAAGACACGCATGCTTTTTGACAAATTTCAAAGGGGGGGGGCGTGCCACCCCACTGCGAGTCCGCCGCCAAATACGCGAATATCCGCGAGGCCCAAATATAGCACTATCCAGACAGCCCCTTCAGATTTGTTAGGCCTCAAAATCTTCCAGCTCCTCGGGCTTAAAAAAAGCTTATCTGCCCTTCCTTTCCTACCAATTGCCCTGCGGCCAGCCTTGCCCCGCCCTCCCTTTTTGCTCTAGGCGTCTGGCAGCAGATCGCTCCGTGAAGGAACTTTGTAAGATTTGCTCGCCTTTCCCTTCTTCCGACCTGCCCATAAACAGACGCCCCCGCATCGTGGAGCGCAGCATTAAAAACACGGCCAGGCAGCAGCTCCCTTCGGCGCCAAGAGCGGGCCTGGCTTTCCGCGAGAGAAGCTTCCCCACCACCGGCAAACCCAGAGCCCCTTCCTCACCTGTGTGTATAGCGCCCGGGGGTTTCTTGCCTTTCCCCGCGTTTTGCAGCTTAGAGGCTAAATGACATCATTGGCGGGCTTACCGCCAAACGGGGAAGCTGGAGCACTGCCGAATCCAGGATCATTTGCAAAACATTTCCCCATCCGATCAAATGGCTGTCGCGACTTAAAGAAATGCAGAGGCCGCCGCTTTCGCTTTCCGCAAAAGAAGCGGCTCCCCCTCGAGTTGTGTTTCCCAATTTTGTCAAGTTTCCAACTTCAACTCTCAGAGTTCCTCAGTCCCCGGGTCTTAAAAGTTGTGGAGGTTGGGAAAGGCGACCCCACAGTGCTCTCCTTTTCGCCCCCAAGTCTGGGAGCTTCCGATTTGTGTCTTCTCCGAGTATGTGTCTGACCTCACTCGGAACAATCTAAGGCCAAATAGTCTGCAGCTCCCTAGTTATAGGCTGGCTAGTGCCCCCCAAAGAAATCGCACCCATGTTGATGTAGGGAAAATAAGAAAAGACAAAAATCTTTGCGTGGACGATGGCTTTTATGGAACCAAATCTAAGAACAGGCAACCTTGAAGTTCCTTTAGGACAGTGGTTCTCAACCTTTTTAATGTTGCGACCCCCAACCGGTCGTAAATCGAGGACTACTCAACTGGTGCAGCACCATTTGCAGAATGGGACTTTTGGCGGGCTCATCAGGGCAGAGACAGCCTGGACAATTCCTATTGGCTTTTGAAAGCCAATAGAATTAGACTCTATTCAAGAGAGTCTATTCTATTGGCTTTCAAAAGCCAATAGAATAAAAGGAGTAGCACAGCTAAGGAAAAGGGGAAACAAAATGGCAGACTGTATTGTTTGGTGACCCTCGTGAAATGGTTGTTCGACCCCAAATGGGGTCCTGGCCCACGGGTTGAGAACCACAGCTTTAGGAAGCCAAATTAAAACATCCCAGGCAGATGGCCATTTACACTCTGCATTAACCCTCTCTGGGGGCGAGTCTGGTGTAGTGGTTAAAACATAGGGATAGAAATGGGGAGGCGGTGAGTTCTAGTTTTGCCTGAGGCACAAAGCCAGCTGGGTGACCTTGGACCAGTTCCTCTCCCTCAGCCCTAGGAAGAAGAAGAAAAAGAAGGCAAGAGCAAACCATTTCCAAAATCTTGCCAGGAAAACTGCAAACAGTTCAGATATTTGAATTTAATAGTGAACTCGGATAGCATCAGTGTGATAGAAGCCAAACAGACCTCTTGACAAACAGAAGAAAGTAGAAACTTGGTTATGGTTTACAGAAGTCCACAAAAGTTTAATGAATGCAAGGGGAGATAAAACATCTCCATCTCCATCTACTTCCCATTATATCTCATTTACTGATTATCTTTTATCCCTTTTGTAATTAACAAGACATAGTTAGATTTCCAGGTGTTTTCTTTTCTGAAGGAATAGTTAAAAAAATAAAAATGAAGATTGGCATCTTGTGTTTTACTAGATACCTCAGCTTCATTAATGTTTCTTCTCCTGGAGTCAGAGGCTTTATTTCCCCATCCACATTTTGTCATCTTCTTTGTCAAATTCTCTCTGTGTGTGTAATAGTATAAAATCCTCGGACTCTGGGATGAATATAAAACTAAACTACAAACCAGAAAAAAATACATCCAGCATTAACAACAAAAAAGAAAATTGGTTGCTGTACAAAAAAAGGAAAAAAATGACCCAAGTATCAAATTTAACATTAAACATATAGAATCCACCCAGGCTGGATGCTGAAAATAAAAGATAGATCGATTTCAGAGAATGGATTTATTATATTTAACCAGACAACAATTTATAAGCTATGTTATTAAGAAGCAAACATGGATACTTGATCCAAGATAAAAGAGTTAACTATTGGGATGATTTGGGATAAATAAGCCATGGTAAACTTTCTATAACTTCACTACAATAATAGTTAACAGAAAGTTTTAAAGTTTTTATTTTATGGGCTTTTGTGTGTAGTTCTCCCCTTTAACTATTTTGTCATTAATGTAGTAGATAGGTGACAGGTTAATCATTTACAAATAGAGTTATACGTTTAAAAATTTGGAGGCCTGTTTCACAATGGGTGGGAAATTAATATTGTTGCAATGTATTTATAGAGGATAATATTTGTATATGTGTCTGTGTCTTTTTTAATGCACTTTTTTCATGTCTGGGTTTTTTATTTTTTAAAAACTTTTTAACTTTTGTATTTTAACTTTTTTTTTTTTTTTTTTTTTTTTTTTTTTTTTTTTAAAAAAGTAATTGTTAAGTGCCCGGGAAATTAGGAGATTCAGGCAGTTCAGATGAGTATAAAAATGTATTGAAAGCTTAAGTTCTCTACAAGAATCTGGCTAAGTGACCATTAAGGGAAATGAATGAGAATTAAGAATAGAAAGAAATTCAAGGTGGATTGAATTTAGATCTCATGCGGCTGCAAAGGGACTCATGACAAATGATATGGCTGACCCCTCCCTCAGGCTCAGCCTGGTCATCTCCTACAGTAAAATCACTGTGTCATGGTTCCGACAGATGAAACTCTTCAAAGAACTTCGAGGCATTGTTTACCTTAAAGAATCTTTATTTGAGTAGCATAACATCAGCATGTGCACAGGTAAAGCCAAAATCTGAATTCCCCTCCCCTGAGCACATAGTATCAAAGCACAATTCCCCCCTCTAGTTAACAGTCATAAATCACATTCTCCAATTAGTTTGAAATGCGGGCTTTCCCTCCAGTGCTTCAACTGCCATTTCTTATCATCTCTTATTTTAAAAAAACCTTGGTTCTCACCCTAGTTACAATATTATTATGTCTAACTAAACTCCCATGCACATTCCTCCTCCCCCCCCCCAGTATCATCTAATTCTAACTCTAATTCTAAGAGTAAAACATAAGGAAAATGGCTGTATCTCCATATGTTGTCAAAGCAAGAACATCCGATGTTAGCAGCATTCACACACTGTTAAATAAGTGTCATAAATATTAATATTAAAACTAAAGAAGATGACAAGGAAGAGAGCAAGGTACAAACAGGGTGGAGGTAAGTAACAGTTTAGCACTTCTCTACCTTCCAAATTAAATCCAAAGCATTGTCTAATGCTTGTTATTATTGTCTAATTATTAAATTATTGCCTAATAATTTAATGCCTAAGCTTGGGAAACTCTACAAATATGGTCATAAAAGCCCAATCCAGCACAATACCACTGAAAAAGAAAAACAAGAAATCCAAGAAGAAAACAACAGGGTTGCATAAAAATTCCTCTGATAAACTGAAAGACAAAAAGGATAAGTACCAAAAATGGAAAGAGGGACACATAACTAAGGCAGAATGCCAGCATCTAGCCTGAATCTGCAAAGATGAAGTCATGAAAGCTATGGCTCAGAATGAACTAAAACTTGCAACAAGTGTCAAAGATATTATCAGGAAATTGCGCAGCCAGTGTCCAAATGAAGTGATAGATGCTGACACAAACTTGTACTTTTATATAAATAAATATATTTACAGAAAATAAGATAAGCACACAGGAGCATCATCAGGTAAATCAGCACAACAGGAACATCATGAGGTAAGTTACAGAGCAGACAGGGCACACAGAAGAAAAAGGCAGGAAAAGAGGAAACTCCCCTCCACACCCACACACAACACAGATTGCCTCAGGCAGGAGCCAACATTCTCCAACCAATCAACCAAAGTTGTCTGTTCTGACTCACTGCACAATCACACTGTTTCAGCTACTAAATTTAAATACCTTAACAGATAATTTAAAAAGTTTCTATGTATAAAAAACAAGGTAAAAGTCCATCCACTAAGGCAGTGATTCTCAACCTTTCTAATGCCGTGACCCCATAATACAGTTCCCCATGTTGTGGTGACCCCCAAGTGGGTGTGGCCACCAATAAGAGGGAGTAGGACACTAGGAAAAAGGGAAAAAAATGGCGGACAGCATGGTTTGGTGACCCCGTGAAATGGTCATTCGACCCCAAATGGGGTCCCGACCCACAGGTTGAGAACCACTGCACTAAGGAGAGAAGATGGCAAGGAAGTAACGGGCAGTAGAGAGAAAGCACAGCTGCTTAACTTATTCTTTGCATCAGTCTTCATGCAAAATGAAATTATAGCTCAACCTGCCAAAAACATAACCATAAAAGGCAGAAACAAAAATTTAAACTAAGCAAGAAAATGGTAAGAGAACATCTGTCTGATCTTGATGAGTTCAAATCAGCAGGACCTGATGAACTACAGCCTGGAGGAGCTGGCAGATGTTATCTCAGAACCATTATACTATATCTTTCAAAGTTCCTGGAGCACTGGTGAACTACCTGAGGACTGTAAAAAGTTGATGTGGTTCCCATCTTCAAAAAACAGACAAAAAATATCCGGGAAATTACAGATCAGTCAGCCTGACATCAATACCTGGGAAGATTCTGGAAAAGATAATAAAAAAACATCTGCAAACACCCAGAAGCAGATAAAGTTATAACCAGAAGCCAGCACAGGATTGTCAAAAACAGATCATGACAAACCAACCTTATTTCATTCTTTGACAAAGTGACTAAATTAGCAGACCAGTGAAATGCTGTGGATATAGTGTACTTAGATTTCAATAAGACATTCAACAAAGTAGACCTCAATCTATTTCTTGGTAAGCTAGAAAAATGTGAGATAGAGAGCATCACAACCATGGATGGCTGGATTTGTAATGGCTGACAAAACATACAAGGAGTAATCCTTAGTAGTACTACATCTAGTAAGCAGCGGGGTACCACAAGATTCCATCTTAGACCCAGTACTCTTCAATATTTTCATAAATGACTTAGATGAGGGAATAGAAAGACAACTCATTAAACTTGCAGATGACACTAAGCTGGCAGGAACAGCCAACATCCCAGAAGACAAGCTCAGCATTCAAAAAGATCTTGACAGACTTGAACAATGGGCCCTATCCAAGAACATGAAATTTAATGTGAAGAAAAGCAAGGTTTTACACCTGGGCAGGAAAAACCAAAGGGACAAGTACAGATTAGGTGAAACCTGGCTCAAAAACAGTAACTGTGAGAGAGACCTTGGAGTCCTAGTGGATGATCACTTAAACATGAGTCAGTAGTGTGCGGCAGCAGCCAAAAAAGCTAATGCAATCCTTGGTTCCATGAGCAGAGGCATACAGTAAAGATCATATGAAGTATTAGTATCGCTTTATAAAACCTTAGTAAGGCCACACCTGGAATACAGCATCCAGTTTTGGTCACCACATTACAAAAAAGACTCTGAAATTTTGGAAAAAGTTTCCAGAACAGCAACTAAGATGATTAGGGGTCTGGAGACTAAAATATGTGAAGAATGATTGCAGGAATTGGATATGGTTAGTCTAGTGAAAAGAAGGACTAGAGGTGACATAATAACAGTGTTTCAATATCTGAGAGGCTGCCAGAAAAAAGCGGATATCAGCCTATTATCCAATGCACCTGAAGGCAGGACAAGAATCAATGGACAGAAACTAATCAAGGAGAGAAACAATTTAGAATTAAAGAGAAACTTCCTAACAGTGAGAGAAATTAACCAGTGGAACAGTTTGCCTTCAGAAGTTGTGGGTGCTTCATCGCTGGAGCTTTTTTTTTTTTTTGAAAGAAATTTTATTGGTTTTTTAATTTTTGAAACAAAGTGTTCAAGGCACACCATGGTGTTAGGGTAGACAAACATCCAAAAACAAAAATAAAACATATATACATAATTCAATCAATACCTCTAGTATTCACTCTCTTTTTCCCTTAGATAACATAATTTATTTAAAATAGTCCAATTCTAGCTTAAATTTATTCAACCTATACCTGTTTATAAAGCTTTAGAGATTTACACTACCATAATCAAATTAACTTTAAGTACAAACATTATCAATTCGGGTATCCCTTCCAAATACATTCTAGTTCCTTGGTTTTATCATAAATCTTGTTTAATTCTTCTTCCACTAATATCCCTTAATTAAAATAAAATATTAATCTATTCTATACGTATCTAGTCTATCAATTAATCAGTCTCTTTAAGCTGACAAAGATCAAACCTTAAGTCATTTCGATCTATTAAACAGAATTCAAATTACATCCAATTATCATAACTAATAACATCCATGTTATCAAACAAACAAATCATCTTATTAGATTAACTCAACATTACATAATAGTTTTCTTACAAGTAAAAAAGAAAAAAGAACACACTCTTAATCAATTTAATATATATTTCATTAATCACCCCTTTTTCTCTAACTCACAATCTTAATCCTAAAATCAATCCATAATTCTAAATTACCTTTAATCATTATCTAAAAATATCTCCTTTTTAAGCTAAAATATTGATCTATCCTAGGACTATCTAATCCATCAATCAATCTCTTTAAGTTAACAAGATAGCATCAAACCTTAAATTATTTCAATTCATTGAGCATCAAACAAATAAATCATCTTGTTAGAAATGGTAATTTTCATATAGATAAACTTTATATGTCTTCCGTTAGTCGCCCCTTTTTCATACATCTAACTCATAATCTGTCCTTAAATCAGTCCATAATTCTAGGTTGCCTTTAATCCATTACATGAAACTTTAACTTTCACTTTTTTTTCAGTCTTATTCTAGGTTTCTTCTTATGCCAAGTAGGTGTCCATAGCAGAGCCTCCCTTCCAGCTGACAGGTCTCTCTTTATTGCTTGTAGTATCATTTGAATCAGTGAGAACCATCTTGGCCTCTGCAATGGCCCTCTGCTTCTCTTAATCATCAAGTCTCGTTGCTTTAACATTTCAAATCTCAGTCTTTGCTTTTTCTGGTCCTCAGCACCATAAGTAAATTGCTTGTAAGGCAAAATCAATTTCTCTTTATTCTCAGTTAAGTCCTCTTCTTGTGTAATCTGTTTTATAGAAGAATCAGGTGTAGTCTGAAAGTCAATTTAAAAGTTTGAAGGAGAGATTCTGGCTCTTAATTCTGTAGTAATAAGGTGACCAACCGTCCTCCTTTAGGGAGGACAGTCCTCCTTTTTTAAGTTCTGTCCTCCCTCAAAAAGTGTCCTCCTACATGTCCTCCTTTTCGATATTTGAAGACTAATCTGCAGGCCTTTTTTTTCTCATAGAATGCTCAGAACGGCGTTCCAGAACGTTTTTTTGATGGGTTTTTTTCAACTTTTACATGAGCTGTGCTACTCCCGTTATTGGCTTTCGAAAGCCAATAGGAATTGCTGCTGAGCATGCCAAAACACCCAACCGGTAAACTTTGCACATGCAAGTTATCTGCAGCGAAAGCAAATTGGCAGGAACTTAGCACCCCTGCCTGCTACCCAACTACACCATCTCCTAGTTAGTTCTGAAGATACCGTGCTGTGAGAGCCGTGGGGCCCTCTCTACACAGGGCTGCGCAGGGTGGCCGGTGGTGCTGGCAGGTTAGCTGCAGGTGGGGTGTGTCGACGGCAGGCTGCCCCCCAGGGCCGGAGCTGGCACGGCTGGTGCTCAGGGAGCCGCGGGGCCCACTCTACATGGCAGGGCAGCTGTGCTGGCAGGGCAGCTGCGGGCGGGGGCACGGCAGGCGATTGACCTTCCATGGGCCAAGCCAGTTTTTATGATATTTTTGTCTTCAATTTATTTGTGTCCTCCTTTTCATTGTAAAAAAGTTGGTCACCTTAGTAGTAAGCTCTTTCATTGTAACACATATTTCTTCTTTAGCTTCGCAGATCTTTTCCAGAATAAGTTTACAGTTTAAATGTGAGTGCAACTCCATTTTAAAGGATTGTTCAGCTGCATCAAATTATCTTTTTCTTAAAAAACAGTTTGAAGGCCAAAACCTTCTCCTCTCCAATTGCAATATTAGTTTTTAACTAGTAGATGACCTCAGTGGGCTAAAAAATCTTTTTTCAAAAGTCTTTTTTTTTCCTTTTCCCTTTTTTTCCTATTTTTTCAGGAAAAGATAGAGGAAGAAGTACTCAAAACAAAACAAAACAAAACAAAACAGCATAGACCGATGGTAGAATTCTTAGGAAAAGAATTTTTCCAGTACCCCAAAACATACATACATACATACATACATACATACATATAAGAAAAGTAGTCTTTAAAGCTTCGTTCTATTCTTTTGTTTGCCTTTCTTCCCAGACATGTAGAAGCTGCCTTTCCAAGCTAGGGAAATAGTTCCAACAGGGTTCTTACAGGCAAAAAAAAAAAAAAAAAAGCAAAAAAGCATAAAGAGAGGAACAAAAAAAAAAAAAAATCACACCTGGATTCACTACAGTGGGTTTTCAAGCTTAGCTGTTCTTTGACTTGCGGTTTCTAGCGGCTAAGTGATCGGCCATTTTACTGGCCGATCTTCTCCGTTGGCCCTCAGAGTCTGGCCCGGACAGCTGGAGGAGCCGCCGCTATCGCTAGAGCTTTTTAAGAAGAGATTGGACAGCCACTTGTCTGGAATGGTATGGTATAGGTTCTCCTGCTTGAGCAGAGGGCTGGACTAGAAGACCTCCAAGGTCCCTTCCAACTCTATTCTGTAACTAACTGAAGAAAAAACCTGCAGGGATTATAGGACAGATTGGAACACCCTGGAAGAAAGCAGTGACAAATCATTGCATTTTCCTGAAAACCTTCACAAACAAGCTGGCTGAACTGTAAACTGTTGGCTTGGAAAATAACATAGGGAATTCTGTTAACTTAGTTTTGTCTGATTGTGGAAATAATGGCAACTTACATTTAGTCATTTTTTGTCATTGCTTGAATAACAAATTCAGTAGGGTACAATAAAATATGCAATAAGATATTTGCATGTCTTAACACTTAAAATTATAGATTGTTAGTTTATTTTGGAAAGCTTGCTTCATGTAAAAACATGTTAAATATACTTAGTAACGTTAAAAAAAATATTCTTTCTTCCAAAGTAAAGAAGCAGATCTGAAATGCAAAGAGCTCATCAGGACTTTGCCCACAAAAGCAAAAGTTACACCTTGGGTGGCAGGAGAGGAATTGAGTCAGTCTTCTACTGGGACAAAATAGGCCTATCCAGTCAGCTACCTTTCTTGATGTAACTCTCAGCTTCTTAGGTGATGATGTAGGAGGAGCTATTGGTATCTGGAATGGAGATTTTTGTGGGGGGGGGGGGCTTCTGCATGCCTCCAGAGGTTGGATCGAGCCCTCAGAGGGGTCCTCCAAGCTGCTGCCACCTGAAACAGAGCTTCCAGAGGTTGGATCCAGGCCCCAGAGGGGGGCTCCAAGCTGCTTGTGCCTGGAATGGAGATCGGGGGGGGGGGGAATTCTTCATGCTTTCTAGCAAGAAGAAGTTACCTTGTCTGGGCTTGGTGCTTTTCCAGGCTTTTATCTGTGAAATAGATCTCACACATCTTTTTTTGTGATCATCAGAGGTGGGATGGGATGGAGTCAATTGTAGGAGACTTGGCTGTTGTTGGTCTATCTGAGATGGAGAGGGTGGCGATAGCTGACAGTGGTTTCCTCTCAAAACTATAGTAAAACACATTGAGGTGATCTGCTAGTTGTCGATTCCCTTCACCATGGGAAGGAGGTTTACTGTAGCCAGTGATATCTTTAAGGGTTTTCCGCATATTTGCTGGTACATTTGTTGAAAGCTAATTCCTCAGCTTTTCGCTCCAAGTCTTCATCACAAAATGTCTTTAGTGTAGTTCAGTGGTTCTCAACCTTTTTAATGCCGCCACCCCCAACCGGTCGTAAGTCGAGGTCTACTCAACCGGTCGTAAGTCGAGGACTACTCAACTGGTGCAGCACCGTTTGCAGAATGGGACTTTTGGCGGGCTCAGCAGGGCAGAGACAGCCTGGACAATTCCTATTGGCTTCTGAAAGCCAGTAGAATTAGTCTCTATTCAAGAGAGTCTTTCAAAAGCCAATAGAATAAAAGGGAGGAGCACAGCTAAGGAAAAGGGGGGAAAAATGGCGGACTGCGTTGTTTGGCGACCCCCGTGAAATGGTCGTTCGACGCCAAATGGGGTCCCGACCCACAGGTTGAGAACCACTGGTGTAGTTACATTTTTACATCATCGGTTGTTGATGGTTAAGACCAAATGCAAAAGAGACACATATGCTTCTTCAATAAATTCTGGTCAAGCCAACTATTCCCTGTTCTTTTGATGCGGTTGTCTCATCCAGCCTTGCTACAGCTTTCCGGATGGCTGCAGAGAAAATGTTTCTCCATGGAGCATATGGTACTACTGGCCCCCTTTGCATCTATGTAAGCACAGAAGCCTTCTCCTCGCACTGGAAATCTGGAAAAAAAAAAAAAAAAGACAAGGAGTTACTCTCTGCAAGGCAGTGGTAACTAACAGCAGAAATTAGTATTGCAGGACTACTCCTTCCAAGAGATTCTCAGCTTTAAAGCATAGAGAACTTCAGCCAACACTCTACCTCTAGGACGCACTGGATGAATCTTGGGGGAATGCTGGCTAGGCTTAAGGGAGGGGTCAAGCGAGGACCCACCTTGGAGTTACTGAGCAGTCACAAATGGCATAAGCATGACCTCACCCCAAATCCATAAAGTCTTATCTGGTTGTTCCCAGGATAAGGCAAATAGTCTGGTGAGATTCTTGTAACATAAGTATAAACGAGTGTTTCTCAACCTTGACAATTTTAAGGCATGTGGACTTCAACTCCCAGAATTCCACAGCCAGCAATGCTGGCTGTGGAATTCTGGGAGTTGAAGTCCACATGCCTTAAAATTGTCAAGGTTGAGAAACATTGGTATAAACAATAAAGTTCAGATTGAGGCTATTCACAATTAGTTGTTGCCTGTGCCTAACAATCAACATGATCATGAAATCTGGAGTTTGCACGAGTTCTGTTCAACAAATTTGCGGTGTAGAAGACACATGACTGAGAAAAGATGTAGTATAATATGTATACACAGGCAAACACACAAAACAGAAAGCATCATTTAAAGAGATCTCTCATGCTCGGAGCATCTGGCCAGCTTATGGTGGTCATATTCTCAACTTCATAGAGGATTAAAATTTTGATTGACAAATAAAAATGACTTGATCGTTGTAACATGGCAGCTATTTAGTAATAGTAATAGTAGTAAAGTTGGAAGGGACCTTGGAGGTCATCTAGTCCAACCCCCTGCTCAGGCAGGAAACCCTACACCATTTCGGACAAATGGCTGCCCAGTCTCTTCTTAAAAACTTCCAGTGTTGGAGCATTTACTGCTTCTGGAGGCAGGCTGTTATTTTTAAACCACCAATGGTAGCTAGAATCTGAGACTTAACTAGCCGAAGTGAAGCTTAATGCAACTTGAAATTGAAACTTGAAGTTTAGGCAAGCTCCTAGCACCTATGAAGTATTGTGCCTACTCACTGAAATTGTAAACTTGAAGTTTTGAATTCAGACTTTGTAATTTAAATTTCAAATATTGCAAACTTGTAAAGTGTTTAATATATACCGAATTTCAAATTTATTAGATTTTCCGGCATCTGTCATCCCCAATAAATAATCTTAAAGTATGACAAATAACTTAGATATAAATGAATGGTGCTGTTTGATTTCTTTTATAGAGTTGCAGAGTATGAAGTGTAGAAGGAGAATTGTAGATAATACACTCACACATTGGATTTTAGCACAGGAAACTACCCTTTATATCGTATTAATTTCTCTCTTTTATATGCATACTCTGATTAGTTGATTAAGACACTCAATTTAAAGGCCAACTGAGCAATTCTCCCAAATCAGATCCCTTCACCCAATTCAACTGTCAAATCACCCTGATTTATGTGCTTTTCAAATAAGCTTCTTTTTCCAAAGAAGGCTGTGTCAACATTTGAATTAAGGATGTGAATCGGATCAGAGGTAGTATGATACATCATACGTACACAATGATCCTTAACACACAAACACTCACATTTGCCATTTTAGTATTACCTTGTTAATACTTTAAAGCAGGGCTTTTCAACCTTTTCACCCATTGTACCACTTTTAGGATATGGCAATATCTGAGTACCACCAGTCGCCTAGCAAGGTGTCAAAAACCTGATGACCAAAAAAAAAAAAAAGGAAAAAAAGTGTTGAAGTACAGGTAGTCCTCGACTTACAACAGTTCACTTAGTGACTGTTTGAAGTTACAATGGCACTGAAAAAAGTGCCCCCCAAGCCACAGCCGAGCAAGACATCTGCCTGCCCACCTGACGGCACTCTTCCTCCTGTCCGAGGTTTTCATTGTTGTGAGCATTTCTGTTGAGAATTGGCAGTGGGAGTGGGGTGGGGGGGGTGCTTGGTTTTTATTCCCCCCATCTGCTGGGTGGTTGCAGCAGGTTTTGGTCACTTCACATGACCCTGGGGCACTGTGACCGTCATAAATATGAATCAGTTGCCAAGCATCTGAATGTAAATCACAAGATCCTGGAGATGCTGCAACATTCCAGTGATCGGCGCTTCTTCTGGGCTCAACAGAAGCACCAGGATCAGTGCCGCTTTCCAGCTGATTGGTGCTTCTTCAGGGCTCAACAGAAGCACCGGGATCAGCGCCAAGCTCCAGCTGGAGCCTGGCGCTAATCCTGGCGCTTCCGCTGAGCCCTGACAGCCCTGCAGCTCCAGCCATCTCTCACTCAGGCTTGTGCGGTGCTGCCACCGGTTCAGCTCATTCCCCTCCCCCGCTACCACTTTTTTAGGATGGTCACGTACCACCTGTCAGGTGCCAATATACCACAGGTGGTACCTGTACCATTGGTTGAAAAGTCTTGCTTTAAAGCAGTGTTTCTCAACCTTGGCAACTTTAAAAAGTGTGGATGTCAACATCTTAAAATTGTTAGGATTAAGAACCCTGCCTTATAGATAGTGCCTTTTAGGAAAAACAGCAAACTCCAATTTTACAATCAAGTCTGCTCTTCCTCCCTACATACAAAAATATAAACATTAGCATCAGACACATCTGCTCTTGGATATTGTTTATCATCTCATCTCAATCCATCTAAGCTGGCCAACAGTCACCAGACACTACATATTATTGCCTGAACATTTTATTCTCTTTTCCTCCCCTTTCTGTGTCTTATTTTTTGGGGAGAGAAGCTTAGCCAAACATTCTCTCAATTCTTATTACAGGTAGTCCTCGACTTACAACATTTCATTTTATGACCGCTTAAAGCAGTGGTTCTCAACCTTTTTAATGCCGCGACCCCCAACTGGTTGTAAGTCGAGGATTACTCAACTGGTCATAAGTCGAGGACTACTCAACTGGTGCAGCACCGTTTGCAGAATGGGACTTTTGGCAGGCTCAGCAGGGCAGAGACAGCCTGGACAATTCCTATTGGCTTTTGAAAGCCAATAGAATTAGACTTTATTCAAGAGAGTCTATTCTATTGGCTTTCAAAAGCCAATAGAATAAAAGGGAGTAACACAGCTAAGGAAAAGGGGAAAAAAATGGCGGACTGCGTTGTTTGGCAACCCCCGTGAAATGGTTATTCGACCCCAAATGGGGTCCTGACCCACAGTTTGAGAACCACTGGTTTAAGTTACAACATCATTGAAAAATGACCATTTTTCACAATTACAACCGTTGTAGCATCCCCATGGTCACGTGATTTACATTTGGATGCTTGACAACTGACTCACATTTATGACAGTTGCAGTGCTCAGAAGTCATGTCAATGGGGAAACCAGATTCACTTAACAACCATGTTATTAATTTAACAACTGCACTGATTTACTTAACAAATACGGCAAGAAAAGTTGTAAAATGGGGCAACACTCATTTAACAAATTTCTCAATAACATATATGTTGAGGACTACCTGTATTCTTTCAGCCATTCAAACTGAAGTGTAATGTCTATAAATACTTTGAATAGGTAAATAGCTCTATAAGTCCTATAAACAAACAAACAAATAAAATATACTTACTGAGTTTTGAACTCTGTGCCATTGGACCATTTCCAGACCTTGTTAGCTTTCCTTGAGAGACCAAACCAGTAATGAATGGGATTTAATATATCCACCCAAAATTCCTAGAAGAAGGGAAATAATATATAATAAAATCCTCATTTAGCTGTCTAATTGGGGATAAAGGTCTGTTGATTGTCCATTGAATGCCAATATATATCATTTGTGTCAAATTATTTCATATATACAAAATCATAAAATTAAGGTAAAATTAATTTGCAACTGCCTCGTCAGAACTGTTTCAGATATAGTGGGATTGTCCATTATTTTAAGGAGGTTTCTACATAGAAATTAGGTCTTTTGTATCCAAAGCCTGCTAAAAGGTGGTCTATTAAATAAAGCTTTCTACTGCATTGATTTACATATCTCTGTATTTAAATTTAAACTTAAGTTAAATTTAAATGCTTTCCAAGGATTCAGCAGGAATATATGAGTTTAAATTTAAATTAAATGTAAATGCATTGCACAGGATTCAGCAGGAATATATGTATTTCTCTTGTTCATAATGATACCCCTCCTTAAATAGTTATTAATATTAATAACTCATTGAGATAACAAACATGTTTATGGCAGTTTTTATGCAGATAATGTATTTATGTGTATTCAGGTTGATGTTGACTCTTGCTGATCATTTAGATCAGTGTTTCCCAAACTTGACAATTTTAAGGCATGTGGACTTCAAGTCCCAGAATTTCACAGCCAGAAACGCTGGCTGTGGAATTCTGGGAGTTGAAGTCCACATGCCTTAAAATTGTCAAGTTTGGGAAACACTGATTTAGATCGACCTTATTTAGGAGCACCTGTCCCCAACCTGGTCTTTCAGGTTTTCCAATGGCGGACCACTTACGGCTATAATTGATCATATGTCTTGATTTTGATTACACTGGTCTTGCTGCTGGTCATCCTCTTTTTCTCTTTCCTTTGGCCTTACCCAGATTTATAGATTTAAGAAAGCAGAATCTTATATAAAGTGTCCAAAATTTAAGCCTGGAACAAGGAAAGCTGAATAGGAAGAAGATGAGTCTGATTTAATAATTGGAGGAAGAAACAACAATAACGTGTACTATGTGGATGACACTATCCTGGTAATCAAAAATGTAAGAGATTTGCATGCTGCAGTAATAAGTCAGGGGCTACAGTGTAATAATTGCATTAAATTGGAATGCTATATAAAGACGACCAAACCCATGATAACAACCAGACTTAGAACGGACAATGAAGATACTGAAGTGGTGGACAGTATCTGCTTTTAAGACTCTATAAAGGAATCATCAATCAAGAAATGAACTGCAGACTAGCAATGGATAGGGCATGAAAGCTTTGGAAAAAATATCAAGATGCTGTGACATGTCTACACTTACAAAGATCAGAACTGTGTAGGCAACTGAGATGTGTTTGAATAAAGAACTTTCTGGTAAACTGAAAGACAAAAAGGACAAGTATAACAAGTGGAAAGAGGGATACATAACTTAAGGCAGAATATCAGCAAATAGCCCGAGCCTGCAAAGATGAAGTGAGAAAAGCTAAGGCTCAAAATGAACAAAGGCTTGCGACAAAAGTCAAAAATAACAAAACGGCCATACTCAGCGTGTGGTCCTCAATGGAAGTGCATCTACATGGAGGGAAGTGTGTAGGGGGGTGCCCCAGGACTCTGTTCTGGGCTCAGTGCTCTTCAACATCTTCAATGATCTGGATGAGGAGATAGATGGGGAACTCATCAAATTTGCAGATGACACCAAGCTGGCAGGAATAGCTAATACTCCAGAAACTAGGCTTAAGATATAGAAGGATCTTGACAGACTTGAACACTGTGTGCTATCTAACAAAATGAAATTCAATGGTGAAAAAACTAAGGTTCTACATTTAGGCAAGAAAAACCAAATGCATAGGTATAATATATGTGGTTCCTTGCTCAATAGTAGTAACTGTGAAAAGGATCTTGGTGTTCTAGTGGACAATCACTTAAATATGAGTCAGCAATGTGCTGTAGCTGCCAAAAAAGCCAACACAGAGCTAAGCTACATTAACAGAGAGATAGAATCAAGATCACGTGAAGTGTTAATACCACTTTATAATGCCTTGGTAAGGCCACACTTGGAATACTGCATCCAGTTTTGGTCACCATGATGTAAAAAAGATGTTGAGACTCTAGAAGGAGTACAGAGAAGAGCAACAAAGATGATTAGGGGACTGGAGGCTAAAACATAAAAGGAACGGTTGCAGGAATTGGGTATGTTTAGTTTAATGAAGAGAAGGAAGAGGGGGGACATGATAGCCGAGTTCTAATATCTCAGGGGCTGCCACAAAGAAGAGGGAGTCAAGCTATTCTCGAAAGTGCCTGAAGGCAGGACAAGAAGCAACGGATGGAAACTAATCAAGGAGAGAAGCAACCTAGAACTAAGGAGAAATGTCCTGACAGTGAGAACAATTAATCAGTGGAACAACCTGCCTCCAGAAGTTGTGAATGCTCCAACACTGGAAGTTTTTAAGAAGAGACTGGACAGCCAGTTGTCTGAAATGGTATAGGGTTTTCTGCCTGAGCACGGGTTGCACTAGATGACCTCCAAGCCTTCCAACTTTATCATTATTATAGTAGTTGGACTGTTGGCTTGATCTCTGAGCTTTGCAATTTGGCTGCAGATGTTTCATCTCCATTCAGGGGGACATCTTCAGTGTGCTTTGAATTGTGCTCATCTGTCAGAGCAATGGCCTTTTAAATATGTTTTTGTGGGATTAATGTTTTTGTGTAGGCAATGATTGTCCCAGTTACACTCTGTGAAAATTGGACTTTGAAGAACCAGGATAGAGAGGTATTAAAGCATTTGAATGTTGAAGTTGGAGAATACTCCTGAGAATATCATGAATACTTAAGTAACATGCAATTAATCACGATGGCTAATTACTCCTTACCAATTCCTTCTGAGTATCAATAACAGCCAAGGAGGCATTAAATGAAGAACACGTCGTTAAACTGAGAGACCAATTCTTTTGTTCTTTTGATACATAGAAACATTTTCTTCTGTATCCAATCCAGAAATCCGGGCAGGCAACACTTTGGCTTGGAAGTGAAGGACAATGAGGACATGTTTTTGTTTTTTTAACTGGAAACAAAACAAAATGGACAAATTATAGGGCTCACAATTAGCTATGATTCTGTAGTAGTGAGGTGGCTTAATATTAACTATTAATAGTTAACTATATTAACTATTAAGCCACCTTGCTTAAAATTACAATTCCAGGATTTTTTAAGGAAGTCAAGTGAGTTAGTTTGTAAATACAGGTAGTCCTCACTTACCGATCACATTTGGGACTGGCAATTCTATTGCTAACTGTTGCAGTTGTAAAGCACACAATCACATGACTGCGCCTAAGTGTTTTTTATTCATTTATAATGTAAAATGCAAAAATGCAAAAGAAAGTAATAGGAAAGATGGGGGAGGGAAAAGGGAAGGGAAAAGTGTAGGAAAAAGGGGAAAAAGAAAGAAAAGGTATTGACTTCCGATTTTCTTTGGTGTAGTAGAGTAAGATAATAACATCAAACCTCAAGTTTTTACTTTTACGTAATAGTATAAACTAGCCATTTCTATAAAACAAACCTATCTAATTGATAAAACTCAAAATCAAAGTTTCATTTTTTTCCACTTCAAGCACAAAGTCCAGAGAAGTGGTTTCCAAGTAGAAATAAAAGTAATCATGTTTTTTTTCTTTAATCAAAGCAGTCAATTCAGCCATCTCTGCTAACTCCATCAACTTTTGCAGCCATTTTCTCCATTTTGGGAATCAAAGCATCCTTCCATTATTGTGTATAAAGTAATCTCTCTGCCATCAACATATATAGCATCAAAGTTCCAAATTTTTTTCCAAGTCTTTTTGCATTAAACTGAAAAGAAAAGTTTCTGGTTTTATCTTTATAGTCACTTTGAGAAATTTCTGCATTAGGATGTGAATCTTATTCCAATATGTCTTTGCTTTGTCACATGTCCACCAGAAGTGATAAAAGGTCCTTTCTTTACTTTTGCATTTCCAACATTCATTTAAAATACCTTTATACATTCCTGACAACTTATCTGGTGTTAAATACCAACAATACATCATTTTATGGAAGTTTTCTTTTAAATTATAATTTTGCGTAAATTTTAAGCCTTCCATCCACATATTCTCCCATTGTTCAAGCATTACTTTATATCCAAAGTTCCTTGCCCACTGAATTATGCAGTGCTTTACATATTCATTTTCCAAATCCAAATTCAGTAACAATGATTGTGCCCAAGTTATGATAGCAGTTAGTTTGTTAGTTCCAGCTGCAATTGTTATGTGACTGCAACTTCCTGCTAGCTTCCCCACTAACTTTGCTCATTGGAAGCTAGTTATGAAGGTCACCAATGATAATCATGTGACCATGGAACGTGTGACTATTATAAATGAACGCTGGTTGCATGGAGTCCAAATTGCCAACAGGTGACTGTGAAATGCTATGACAGCCACAACTTCAAGGACCAGTCATAAGTCTCTTTATTCAGAACTGTTATAGCTTTGAACAGTTGCTGAACATGTGTGTGTGTGTGTGTGTGTGTGTGTGTGTGTGTGTGTGTAGAGATCTTAGCTTGCCCAGAATAGTATAAGCTTATTTTGAATGCAACTAAGATTTAATTGTACTAATAGCAATCTAGCCAAATGTGCCAGAACTAATCAGTACTGTTCTTACCATTAGCCGGAAATGTTGCATGTGACACAGATATGACCAAATCTACAACTGTATCTTACAAAAACATGTTATATAGATAATTCAGATGTCCAAAGCCACGATGGGAGTAAAGTCAATATTTATTGGCCATGATGTGGTGATGCTCATGGCATATTTAAGATTGAAATTTGGGATACAAAAGGAGCAAATGCTAAAGAGGATCAATCAAGAAATGACACTGTTAAAAACACAACATTTGTATTTATGAAACTAAGAGAAAATGAAAGAACACATTCACCCACACTCACACATTAATTATGGAAGTGAGAGATGAGTATGTCATGAGAAACATAAAAGTAGACTAAGCTAAGCAGGAAAAGATCCAGTCTGGTGCAGTGGCTAAGGCATCAAGCTAGAAACCGGCAGGCTGTGAGTTCTAGTCCTGCCTTAGCCACAAAGCTAGTTGGCTTCTCTCTCTCTCTCAGTCCTAAGGAGGAGGAAGAGGTAGGGACAAACCATTTCCAAAATTTTGTCATGAAAACTGCAGGGACTTGTCAAAGCAGTTGCTATGAGTCAAAAACTGACTTGATGGCATCACTCCCCAAAATAGCTAGTGGAAATGGAATACTTGAATGTGTGTGATAAAACCACACACACTCTTAACCTGGTCAAGAGTGAAAGATTATTAAATCAAATGCCAATTTATGTTGGATTATACTATCTTCTCCCCCCCTCCCCATCTGCATTGTGCTTGTCCTGCCTTTCATATAATAATCCTTCCTTCCTGGAGCCTTTGTGAGAGTGTCAAAAAAGATGGCAATAACAGCAGTGCAATAAAATTCTTCCCTTTGTGGATATGCAGGAAACATTTGATACACCTACAAAAATCCTAGCTTCAATTGCACTGCCACAAGCATTTTTACTTTTTTTGACAAACATACACACAGTTGCTGTTACCTCCTTCCAAACTATTCTGTGGTTTAAAATGCATGTGGTGATCTTGAAGTAAACAATAACAACAACTATGGACAAAAGTTAAATAGAAATTTCTCATTACTTACCAGCCAATGAAATGATAATGATAATCAAAACAACAACCAGAATAATAGCTCCTATAATGAATTTTTTCTCTGAAATGCACTTGGGTACGAGAGCTGAAAAACAGACAGGAAATACGAAGAGATGAAGTTCAAGATTTTATTGTGATTGTTTTGATTTTTTTTGTTTTTGTTGTCTTGTAAGCTGCTCAGGTTGTAGTCACACTATGTAGGACAGGCAGGCATTATGGCACACTGTGACAGGCAGACAGAGACAGACAGGCAGACAAAGGGAAAGGATCAGCTACTCTTAACGCCAGAGATTGCACATTTACCCAAACAGTTGGCTGTAATTTATATGAACAGTTTTCGTGTTCTGGGTCTTCCTTCAGCTTTGTGTGTTCCACTTGGCCCTTGAAACTGTAATGCAGGGGAATTTGGAAAAGGAAGTTCAAAATATTTGGACAGCTTTTGGTTTGAAAAGTCTGTATTGGCCATTAAAAGTTTTTGGTCTGACTCACAGCAGCTGATCCGGCCATAAACAAATCCTGAATAACCATCATCTCCCTCCCTTCCTCTCCATTCCTAAGGAAAGATACAAGGTGGCAGTTAGCGTGACTCCAAGGAGCCCAGAAATACACCCTTGGTGTCTGTTGTGCGTGGCCTTCGGGTTTCTTTCCCCAAAGAACAGATCAAGTGGATCTGGGAGTGGCTAAGATCCTCTATCCTTCTCAAAGTCGTGGGTGACATAAAGTTAACCTGAATCCCACAGCCCTGCCAGAAAGAACAGCTGGCAACCCTTGGGAGAGTGTCCAAGTCCAAAAATGTAGTACCCCAAAATACAACTCAAGTAACTTTTCCATAACTGCAAGTGTTTTTCCATAAGACAACGTGGGACAACACAGATATTCCTCGCTGTCTTCGGCTAATGCCCAGTGATATTTATAGGCCCCAGCTCTGCCTCGAAGGTACTCCTTAAGGCAGTGGTTCTCAACCTGTGGGTCGGGACCCCATTTGGGGTTGAACGACCATTTCACGGGGGTCGTCAAACCACGTGTCCGCCATTTTTTCCCTTTTCCCTAGCTGTCCTACTCCCTCTTATTGGTGGCCACACCCACTTGGGGGTCACCACAACATGGGGAACTGTATTATGGGGTCATGGCATTAGAAAGGTTGAGAACCACTGCCTTAAGGGGTTTCCCAGCAATGGTGGCATCCTTGCAATTCTTGCAAACATGTAACATACTTGGAATTAAGTGCATCTGTATTTTGCCTTGCTAAAAGTTGGTATAAATGTCCCAGAAAAAAGTACCGGAAAAATCTTCTCTGCCCTTTGCAAAGCTCTTCTAAAGAAATGGAAATCTCAGCTGTACAACAACAAAAGTTTGTTATGGGAAACAACTGAGGAGGAGGGAAGGAAGGAAGGAAATACAGACACTTGAAGGAATATTTAGAAACCACTTTATGCAGAAAAGCATCACGAAAAATAGAGCATGGCATCCCAACCTCCTCATCTTCCCCAACAGCATTAAGCAATTAACCAGATCTTGTTCTCTGAGACAAAGGTATCAACATCAATTCTCCCCCCCCCCCTTGATCTGGACTTCCCTCTCCATTGCCAAAAGTCAATAGCAGGCTTTCTGCCCTGAAAATGGGAAACGCCCACTGAGCTGACATGGGAAACTTACCAAAGCTACAGTGTTGGCCCCAGTGGTGGGATTCAGCCAGTTCACATCGGTTTGGCAGAACTGGTAGCTAAATTTTTGCTGAGTTCAGAGAACTGGCTGAATGCACACTGCTTCTGGAAGTCCAGTCTAGGCCTGAGAGGCCTCAACGGCCCGCCAGAAGTGGGTGGATGCCACTTCTGGAAGTCCGTTCTAGGCCTGGGAGGCCTGGAGGAGGCCTCCCAGGCCTAGAACATCCCACCGGAAGTGCATGAATGCCACTTCCGGAAGTCTATTCTAGGCCTCAAGAGGCCCAGGCCTGCGTCCAATAAGAGAACCGGTTGTTCAGGTATTTGAATCCCACCAGTGGTCAGCCCTAAAGTAGATTTTGTGTGAATTTTTCCTTTTCAAAAAGAGGAACAGCCTCAACTTCCTTTCCTCAAAACCAGGGAGAAAAGATAAAAGATTCTGGTTTTTACATAGATCTGGTTCAGTTCCACCCATTTTGTTGCATTACTCCCCCAATCAAAGATCACAAAGGGCTCCAGGCAGGTGACTACCTTTGTTTTTACCAGCATTTCTTGCATTCTTTGCATCAGAGCTTCCAAGAGCAATTTCAGTTATCACCACAGGAGTCAAATGATCACAACATCCAGAATCTTTTTCTGCCCCTAAAGGAAAGCAGAAGACCACATTTATGACCATAAACAGAGATATGTTCTAGTTTTGCTCTTGGGAAGACACTGCCCCCAATACCCAACCAGGGCTCCCTATCTTTCCCAGTCAGACAATTTAAAGAAATGTTTTCAGTAGTTGAAACCTCACAAGAACTGCAAATTTTGCACTGCAGAACATTCACATCTGGAACTCAAAGCAACTGCAAAATATCTCATAAGAGTTGATCATCTTGCAAAATAATCTTGATTATTTTAATGGATTGTGGTCATGTCATAGGGAAAGAAAATGGGCCTTAGACCATTTCTACTGCTTTTATGGTGCACATTGGAAGACCTCCTTGCTTTTGCACAAACAGATATATATGTTGCTGAATTCTATCTGAAATTGACATTCCATACATGTCAGATGTGAAAGTCTCTGATGTAACGAGGCTCTCTCCAGCTTAGAAGATCATCTGGGAATGGTCCTCTCACGTGCTCATTTTGGTTCATCAGATTTAGAGTATTACGTTCCAACAGAGTTCTTACCATAAGAATCAAGGGTGACTGAAGAAGACAGTCCTACTGCTAACTAGTTCTCTTACTAGTTCTCCCTAATTTTAGCTTGAATCCAGAGATCTCCAAATGTTGCAGATCAATTTTGCCTATCCAGGTTTGCTTTTTTCAACTCATGCCTGCCTTACTTATTGTGAGTCTTCTGCTTAGAATATATTACTTAGAACAGTGATGGTGAACCTTTTAGAGACCAAGTGCCCAAACTGCAACCCAAAACCCACTTATTTATTGCCAGGTGGGTGGGGCCCACTGGGTGGGTGTGGCTGTGGTCATGGCAGACTGGGTGGGTGTGGTCACCTCAATGTTTCTCCTGGGGAGGAATGCCTATGGGGACCGGGCAGGGTTGGGAGAGATCCAGGGGGTCTCTGGCAGGTAGGGCGATGGGCAGGAGACTCGTCCTGCAAAGCGAGGTGAGGCAGGGCAGGGGTGCCATTGTCACAGGACAAGATGAGGCAGGGGCCGGGGCGGCTGCTGCCTGACACCATAGCCCCCCACACACAGAGGCCAGTGAGCGTATGGGGGCCGACAGTGTCCGTCAGCAGCCACAACTTGCCGGCCCCTCGACTGGCGCACTCTGGGGCTCTGCAGCCGCTGCCAACAGTTCAGAGAAGCTGCCTCTGAGCTGGATGGCCGGCCGACAGCTGAGGACATGATGCAGTGGGTTGTGCCCAGGAAAAGGAGAGCATGCGAGGCCAGGAGGGATGGTATGGGGGGGGAGGGAAATCAGTCATGCTGGGATGCATCCAGCCATATGGGACCTCGGTGAGTTAGCTGGTTGAAGAGGGACGGTTGCCATCTCTGGGGCATGGTGCGCGTGCCCATAGAGAGGGCTCTGAGTGCCGCCTCTGGCACGCGTGCCATAGATTCGCCACCACTGACTTAAAATAGATATCCTTCCTAGGTTAATATGTATTTATTTCCTCAGATTTCTTATTCTTTTTAACCATAGTTAAGAATATATTTAATCTTTAGACATTCCATTCAATAGATCTAGTCATCTATTTCCTTAACTCTGATTCAAAACATTTTTATATACTTTCCTTAAATTCAGTCACATTTAAGTATCTAAAACATTTCATCCCTCTTAAAGTGGTATATTCCAAAATTGTTCTATTTCTTTAACCATATTCAAACACATGCTTCTTTTTTAAGTATTCGCTCTGATATGTCCCATCATCTATTCTCTTAGTTTCCATCTTAATCTTTTTTCTTTGCCCAGAATCTTTCATAGATGTTGCTGTAGATACAGAGAGTAAATCAATGTCTTTGTCATGGGCATTTGCCCACTCCTTTTTATTAGGAATCTTTTTCCTTCCTTTTCTCTCCACTTTTTTTTGTCACTTCTTGTCTCTCCATCAAGTATTTCCTCTCATCCTTAAGTTTGCTGTGTGGTGTTGAAATATAAATCGTCTTTTCTTCCACTTGAATTAAATCATACTCTTTTATTTTGTGGAAGTCCATTAAGTCTTTATTCTCAGATTTATATTCAGTCATCTCTGCTGTATCCTCCTGAGGGTTTTTTTTTGAGTAAAATTAAATTGGAGATAAATTGATTTATACTTTCAAAGTTATTCTGTATTTCTTTGTGGTTTAAGATCATTGTCTTTTGAATTAGTTGCATCTTATCATATATTTCCTCTTGTTAAGTATACATTGTTTCTGTAAGTCTCACTTTATCTGAACAGCTGTGTTGATTAAAACTTTGAAGGCCATAGAGATTTCATAATGCTCATCCACCAGTAGGTGTCAGCATTTGCTCATTTTTCAATTCTTTCTAGCCTTTTTCCTTCTTAAAGCAGGGCTTTTCAACCAGTGGTACGGGTACCACCTGTGGTACATTGGCACCTGGCAGGTGGTACATGACCATCCTAGAAAAGTGGTAGCGGGGGAGGGGAATGAGCTGAACTGGTGGCAGCACCGCACAAGCCTGAGCAAGAGATGGCTGGAGCTGCAGGGCTGTCAGGGCTCAGCAGAAGCATCAGAATCTGTGCCAGGCTCCAGCTGGAGCTCCGCGCTGATCCTGGTGCTTCTGCTGAGCCCAGAAGAAGCGCCGATCAGCTGGAATGTTGCAGCATCTCCAGGGTCTTGTGATTTACATTCAGATGCTTGGCAACTGATTTATATTTATGACGGTCACAGTGTCCCAGGGTCATGTGATGTGACCAAAACCTGCTGCAACCACCAAGCAGATGGGGGGAATAAAAACCAAACACCTCCCCACCCCCGCTGCCAATCCTCAACAGAAATGCTCACAACAATGAAAACCTCGGACAGGAGGAAGAGCGCCGCCAGAAGGGCAGGCGTCTTGTTCGGCTGTGGCTTGGGGGGCACTTTTTTCAGTGCCATTGTAAGTTCGAACAGTCACTAAGCGAACTGTTGTAAGTCGAGGACTACCTGTACTTCATCACTTTTTTCCTTTTTTTTTTTTTTTGGTCATCAAGTTTTTGACACCTTGCTAGGCGACTGGTGGTACTTGGATATTGCCATGTTCTAAAAGTGGTACAATGTGTGAAAAGGTTGAAAAGCCCTGCCTTAAAGGGTTATATTCGCTGCTTCCAATAGCCAAAAGGTGGGGGGGAAACACCTCCCCTTTTCACTCTCGGAGGTATTTTTGCTTCTTGGGAGTTCTCCTTTTCAGGAAAATAAGTAGGATAGAGAAAATCAATATTCTTACCCAGATTTCAAACGCACTGCTTACGATCAGTTTAGAGTAGAGCTTTTGACTTCCGTTGCTTGCAGCTGGGGCTAGACAATGGAGTTAGCTAGCCTTTCTCCTGTTGGTTTCTGGAAGGCTTCTCCTGGACCAATCGGGGAGACCGCCATCTCTCCTAGATCCCTAGGACTACCTTTCTTCATTGCCACCTCTCCGGGGCGGCTTCTGGCCCATTTAGGGTCCCCAAACAGGAAGAAACTCAGCTGGAGGGCTCGGCATCCCGAATCCCTCAACTCAGTTTTTCTCTGACTTCATTAGTACCCCAGGGATTTTCTCCTGCTTTCTGTAGTTCTCAGCTAGATGAAAGAAAGAGCTGAATGACTCACCTGTAATTTTTCCTGGCATCTTCCAAGCTTTCTGGGTGACAAAAATATCAGGATTCAGACTCTATGGAAAGAAAAGAAATTGGTATTACTCATTCCTGCATGGGAGTATAACAATGATGTTACTGTAGAGAAGATACTTCCTTAAACTAAACTTCTTCAGTGTCTGCCCTCACCTGAGTCTTGAATACTGACTGGAATAACCAAAATTATGAGACTTGACGTTTGAAGCCAAGAATGATACATTTTAACTGAGCTACTATTTTTGAAATGCCTTAAAGGACTGTTCCTTGAAGAACTTCAGTATTCAGGTCAGGCATATTTTCCCAATGGCAATAAAAATTAAGAACAATTTTACCTCGTGCAAATTAAGCTTCCAATTACTGTTCCTCATCTAGTCCTTTATAATGCAGAGACGTGGACAGATTCTGGAGAGAACCAACCCTGAGCTTAAAGCAGTGGTTCTCAACCTTTTTAATGCCGCAACCCCCCCCTCAACCGGTCGTAAGTCGAGGACTACTCAACTGGTCGTAAGTCGAGGACTACTCAACTGGTGCAGCACCGTTTGCAGAATGGGACTTTTGGTGGGCTCAGCAGGGCAGAGACAGCCTGGACAATTCCTATTGGCTTTTGAAAGCCAATAGAATTAGAATCTATTCAAGAGAGTCTATTCTATTGGCTTTCAAAAGCCAATAGAATAAAAGGGAGTAGCACAGCTAAGGAAAAGGGGAAAAAAATGGCAGACTGCATTGTCTGGTGACCCCCGTGAAATGGTCATTCAACCCCAAATGGGGTCCTGACCCACAGGTTGAGAACCACCGGCTTAAAGGGAAGAAGTCCTGCTAAATATCACACTACATGTTACAATTATCTCCAAACTTTTCCAACAGTTTCACAGAAACACCCAGTAATATGAAACATCAGCATTGCAGGACTTCCCAAGATGATTCTTAAGGGACTGAGAAGTCCCCCAATACTATCATCTGGATCACAAGTGTAGGATTGAAGCTACCACAGAAATATCAGTTAGAGGATATATAAAAAGCTAATGTAATGGTATGTGGGAATGACTCTAAGTGAGAGGGAATGATGCTGTTTAGGGAATGATCAGATAAAAGAGGGAGGAGACCACAGATGCTTAACAGTCAGAGAAAGAAAGTTAGGAAACATCCACCCTAAATTGACCAAGCTGTAAAAAGAGACAGCAGGAGAATCTTTCAGACTTGCAAGATTCTTGTTAATATAGCCTGATGGTAAAATAATTTGCACATCCTGTCTGGTTTACCTGGAAGGGTAAAGGTTATTTGCTACCAGAAGGTTATTTATATGGGTTTGTCTTGGATTTATTGTACTCAGTTTAATCATATTTATCTGTTAATTTTCATACTCTTACTTTTTCTCCAAATATTCATCTTCCTGAAAGAATTCACATAGTTGGATCTTCCCATTCCAGTTTCCAGTTTCACCCTTTGGACAATCCTCTGAGTAAGATGGACTGTAGCTATTCCAAAGGTCACCAAATGCATCCAGTTTTGGTCACCACGATGTATAAAAGATGTTGAGACTCTAGAAAGAATACAGAGAAGAGCAACAAAGATGATTAAGTGACTGGAGGCTAAAACATATAAGGAACGGTTGCTGGAATTGGGTATGTCTAGTTTAACGAAGAGAAGGACAAGGGGGGGACATGATAGCAGTCTTCCAATATCTCAGGGGCTGCCACAAAGAAGAGGGAGTCAAGCCATTCTCCAAAGCGCCTGAAGGCAGGACAAGAAGCAACGGATGGAAACTAACCAAAGAGAGAAGCAACCTAGAACTAAGGAGAAACTTCCTGACAGTTAGAACAATTAACCAGTGGAACAACCTGTCTCTAGAAGTGGTGAATGCTCCAACACTGGAAGTTTTTAAGAAGAGAATGTTAAAATATAATTTTTTTGATTAAAATATAATTTTTTTGATTAAAATATAATTTTTTTGATTGTTTTTTAATTAAGCCTATATTCTGCTCTGGGAAGCTCGGGGGGGGAGAAGGGGGGGTGTTTGGGGGAGGTTGGGGAAGGGAGGGTTTGTTGTGTAATGTTTAGTTTTTTTTCTTTGTATATGTTTTTTGTCTTTGTATTGTTTTGTTTTTTTCTTTTTCTTTTGTAAAACTTATAAAACTTTTAATAAAAACAAAAAAAAAGAAGAGAATGGACAGCCATTTGTCCAAAATGGTATAAGGTTTCCTGCCTGGGCAGGGGGTTGGACTAGGTGACCTACAAAGCCCCTTCCATCATCATCATCATTAATGAAAATCATGGATGACCATAGACTTGAACTTCAGAACTAGATCAGACCAGCTTTCTCCTCATTAAGAACCATATATATTCTCTGGAAATAAATTAATGAATCAGCACTATATATCCCAAGGGGCAGAGTACACAATGATAGAAAAAATCCACACAAATACACAAAAGGGGAAGACCTGCCTTGTTTGCCTAGAGGAATTTGGCTTGCAAATTTTTTCCCCCATAATCTTTAACAATAAACCCATTCTAATGCCTCCTCATGTGAGCCATATTTCTGGTCTGGTGGATATTATCAACATTTTTCTCTGTTGGGTAAATAGCCTTCTGTTCTGTGATGACTGAAAACAGAATGTGAACAAGATTTAAGCCAAACGCCTTCTCAAAACAGCTTTCATTACTTCTGAAGATTTCAGAGTGTAGGTGGGAAACGTCTGAAATGAGTGGAAAATGTAAGAAATTCATATCTTTTATTTTCTGCTATGCCAGCCCCCTGATAGAGAAGCTGATTATATTATTCAAGTTTATTTTCGTTTTAAAGGTCAATTGTAAAGATCAACATGGGGCAAAGCACCAGCTTGCATTTATCTGGGGTTTTTTTTTAAAAAAAGTTTTAAGCTATCCTACAAAGCAATCTTTCCCAAGTTTAAATTATTAAATGCTCAAATTTCTTTTAAAAAAGAAAAAAAAATCAAAAGGATGCTGGCTAATAGGAGGGGCTAGATGATCCCTAAGGTCCCATCAATACTCAGTTATATATCTCTGCCCGTGCCAACCAAATAATAAGTAGTCCTTGACTAATGACCACAACTGAGCCCAAAATTTCTGTTGCTGAGACCTTTCTCAAGTGAGTTTTGCCCCATTTTATGACCTTTCTTGCCACAGTTGTTAAGTGAATCCCTGTGGTTGATAAATTAGTAACCCAGTTGTTAAGTGAATTTGGCTTCTCCATTGACTTTGCTTGTCGGAAGGTCGCAAAAGATAATCACATGACCCCGGGACACTGCAACCGTCATAAATATGAGTCAGTTGCTAAGCATCTGAATTTTGATCACATGGTCATGGGGATGCTGCAAAGGTCGTAACTGTGAAAAATGGTCATAAGTCCCTTTTTTTAGTGCCATTGTAACTTTGAATGGTCACTAAATGAATTATTGTATTCTCTCAATGTCTGGAGGCTTCGGCTTGGGTGGAGAAGAACAGGCTGCAGCTCAATCCTAACAAAACTGAGTGATTTGGGGTTTTAAGGCTCATGGGATCTGCTGACTTGCCACTTTTAGTACTGGATGGGGTGGTACTACCCCAAAGAAAACTGATGGGCAGTTTGGCAGGACTCCTGAAGTTGCATCTCCACTTTGTGGAACAAAGAGTAGCCATATCTTCATCTTCTTCTAATAATTGTACATACCTCTATTATGCATTGGTATCCCTCATTTATTATTTTTACAAATAACTCAAGGCAAGCATATCCAATGCATCTTCATCTTATTTTTCCCCATGACAACTGCCTGTGAGGTGGGTTGAGCTGAGAGAGTGATTGGCCCAAAGTCATCCAGCTGGTTTTCAGGGCTAAGGCAGGACTTGAACCCACAATCTCCCACTTTCTAGCCTTTTACCTTAACCACTAGACCAGAGGTCCCCAACCTTTTGGGCACCAGGGACCGGTTCCATAGAATTTTTTCTGTGGACCGGAGGGTGCGTGTTTTTATGTGCTACCTGCATCCCATGCACGGAGCTTTGCTTGTTTGTGCAGACCGGTTGCTGGCATGCCGTGGCCCGGTACCGGTCCATAGACTAGGGGTTGGGGACCCCTGCACTAGCCACCGGCTTCCTTCTGATGTCAAATCCTCTCCTTTTTAAAATTTCCCTGAGAAAATTTTAACCAATCAACTAGTCAATGAGAATAGAGCTGGAAGGGACCTTGGAGGTCTTCTAGTCCAAACCTCCTGCTCAAGCAGGAGACCCTATTCCATTTCAGACAAGTGGCTGTCCAATCTTTTCTTAAGAACCTCCATTGATGGAGCACCCACAACTTCTGAAGGCAGGCTGTTCCACTGGTTAATTGTTCTCACTGAGAGGGAATTTCTCCTTAATTCCTTGACTAGTTTTCATCCATTGTTTCTTTTCCTGCCCTCTGGTGGTTTGGAATATAAGTTGACCCCCGTGTCTTTGTGGCAGCCCCTCAAATGCTGGAAAACTGCTCTCATGTTATCCCTAGTTCTTCAGTCAGAACTGAAGAAGCTTCTTGGATGAGTGGCAAAACGTCTTCTTCAAGAAACAAACAAAGAAAGTCCAGTTGCCTTTTGAAAAAGCACCTTTGGGACAACCATGACCTGGATGACTGAGGATCTCCACAGACAAACAGTCAAGAAATTAGTCACAGACCAGCACTTGGTAGAGCATCTATGAAAGCCACAGAATAGATATTCAGATGTTGGGAAGTGTCTACACCAGGGCTTTTCAATCTTTTCAGAGATTGTACCACTTTTAGGATATGGCAAATGTGCTGGTCAGAGTAAATAGCTATCTTAGGAATTAAGAACTGTCCCCTTTGTGTAATGTAGTTTTAAGTTACCTGGTCATATCTACGTTTCGGATGGGCCACTGGGAAGGACTTCCGATTGGCTACCGGAATTGCTGGCTACGTACAGTCCAGCAGAGTCTTTATGAATTCCAGCCACGAGAACTTTTTGCTCCTCTGACATGGAAGAAACTACCTCCTTTTACCTACGTAAAAGGGTCCAGATTATGCAATGTATGTCAGAAGAATCTCCAGTAACTGTTAAGGTTTAAAGAATGCCTGATGAATTAAAGTAATCTGCATGAAACCTTTCCGTGGAGTTTATCTGCCTGCATCAAGCAATAGCCAGTAGCCCCCTTGCTTGATACAGAACATCAATAGTCGCCGAGCAGGTGGGCATGGCCTGCTCGATGCCATTCACTGGACACAGCTGACTCAAGACAGCTGGGTTGGAACAGAACAAGTCGCACTGGCTAACTCGATGTGGGACAACTTGGTGCCCCACAAACTCCTTGCCCCTCAAACTGCTAGCAGCCAAGCACATGTGCGCATGCACAAACATGCACGCACACCACATTCCAGGTTTGGGGACTTATCCACTGAGGAAGGCCTTCTCCCCAAGCCCAGGCGTGAGTGGTAATTTGCTAGCTCAGATGTGGATACAAGTCTCCAAGCTGGAGTATGTGTGCATGTGTGCGTGTGTGTGTGTGTGTGTGTGTAGAGCATGCTAAAGAGATGTTCTTTTCCCAAACCCAGACATCTTTGGTGTTTCCCTGTCTGGTGCCTCCTCCTGGCAAAGCAGGAGGTGGAGGACATTTGCAGGAAGCCGTTTCCTCCAAGTCCAACTTCTGTCTTATAATAATAATAATAAAGTTGGAAGGGAGGTCATCTAGTCCAGCCTCCTGCTCAGGCAAGAAACCCTATACTATTTTGTACAAATGGCTATCCAGTCTCTTCTTAAAAACTTCCAGTGTTGGAGCGTTCACCGCTTCTGGAGGCAGGTTGTTCCACTGGTTAATTGTTCTGTCAGGAAATTTCTCCTTAGTTCCAGGTTGCTTCTCTCCTGGATTAGTTTCCATCCACTGCTTCTTGTCCTGCCTTCGGGAGCTTTGGAGAATAGCTTGACTCCTTCTTTATGGCAGCCCCTGAGAGATTGGAACACTGCTATCATGTCCCCCCTTGTCCTTCTCTTCATTAAACTAGACATACCCAATTCCAGCAACCGTTCCTTATGTTTTAGCCTCCAGTCCCCTAATCATCTTTGTTGCTCTTCTCTGTACTCTTTCTAGAGTCTCAGCATCTTTTTTACATCGTGGTGACCAAAACTGGATGCAGTATTCCAAGTGTGGCCTTACCAAGGCATTGTAAAGTGGTATTAATACTTCCCGTGATCTTGATTCTATCCCTCTGTTAATGCAGCCTAGCACTGTGCTGGCTTTTTTGGCAGCTGCACCACACTGCTGACTCATATCTAAGTGATTGTTCACTAGGACTCCGAGATCCCTCTCCTTTCCCCAGGCTGTGCATAGCTTCCAGAAGCGCCAGTCAGCTGGAGCCCGGTGTGGATCCTGGGCACTCATAACAGAGCCCCGGCAACACCACGGCTCCAGCTGGCTATCCACAGGCCTGTGCTGCATTGCTGCCGCTTCAGTTCATCCCACACTACACTTTTACACTTTTTAACACTTTTTTTTTACAATGCTCTTCAACCCATCGTAAGCATACCACCTACCAAATGCTGACGTCCCACCAGTGGTTAAAAAACCCTGGTCTACACCATAGAGATTGGATAATATGTATCTTAATGAATGTGGTTTAAGCATGTTCAACTACCAAAGCAGAACTGTAAAAGACAGAATAGGGATACAAATTAAAATAGACAAGAAAATGATAACATTTGTCCACCCTTGATGAGTACAGATCATCAGGACCAGATGGATTATATCCCAGAGTTCTGAAGGAGCAGAGCTGGCAGACATGATGTCGGAATCACTGAACCATATCTTTCAAAGATCCTGGAGCCCCAGGGAACTACCAGTGCACTGGAAAAGAACAGACAGGATTCCCATCTTCAAAAAAGGGGGAAAATGGATCCAGAATACTACTGACCAATCAGCCTGACATCAATACCTGGGAAGATCCTGTAAAAGATAATCAAGCAAAGGATCTGTGAACAAGCAAGCAAAGTTATAACTAGAAGCCAACATGGGTTTGTCAAAAACTGACCATGCCAAACAAATATTATTGCATGCAACTGACTGCAGGAATTGGGTATGTCTAAGGAAAAGAAGGACTGGGAGTGACATGATAGCAATGTTCCAATATTTAAGAGGCTGCCACAAAGAAGAGGGAGTCAAGCTATTCTCCAAACACCTGAAGGCAGGACAAGAAGCAATGGATGGAAACTAATCGAGAGAAGCAGCCTAGAACTTATGAGAAATTTCCGTATGTAAAACCGTAAAAATAAAACAAGAAATCAAATTTTAGGATATTGAAAGGATTAAGTAACAAGTCTGTTACAAATAAAAGAATATAAAGTTTATTTGATCAAGGTTAAAATAAATATCTCATTCCTGGTAGCCCTTAATAGATAATTGCTGACCAGGATTTAATGACAAGATTTTGTGGGGTTTCTTTATAGATAAAGAGATGAGATAGAGGAAAAAGAGATCTTTGTTGAAATATAACAGAAGGGGATACGTTGACAATTGTTGATATTGTCATGAAGGGGGAAGTCATTTATCTTTCCTGCCTTCTCTGCACTTTCTACTTCCTCTTTTTAGGATCTTATCTTTTTAACTGTAGAGTTCAATAACATTATTAACAGATTTTTCCTCCACAGCCCAACAGCCACAAAGCGCTGTGGCTCTTGCTTCTTCACGCCGCCCAGAAGATGAAAATTATCACAAGACTAGAAAACACGCGTACTCACCAAAATGCAATACAATAGTCCTCCTAATCACATGACGCGTGTCCTTAACAACACCAGCAGCGCGGATGTGTGACCCAAATTTGTGCAACCCCTGCTTGCAAAATAAAATCCTCAAACCCGGAGGACCCCTAGGTGAATTCTAGTCTTTCCACTGCAAAGTTGTTGGAAAACGATTAACTATCAGACAGAGGCAGGAACGCTTCTGGACAAGCCTCAAAGGGAGACGGGGAAATCCCACTGAAATCAACTGTGAAACCCACATAGGTTCTGGAACGGTGAGGCAATGTTCCACAGGCAGCCCGTTCAGTCTCGTTAGGCTGCAATCAAAAACTTGATCTTCCCATACCGACAGGTGCCTGTCCATCCCGCCCCTCCCACAGTATTTACTCCCAGTCCCGGATGAGAAGCAACCAACCGTTCAGCCTCCACACCTTGCAGCTGTTTGTGTTGCCCAAGTAATCCGCCTCTCCCTCCCCCCTCCCTTCCTTCCTTCCTTCCAGCGACACCTGGCAGCCCTCCGCACCTGCTGCTTTCTACTCCTCCCGCGTAGCCTCAGCAGATCTCAGAGTGGTTAACGCGGCGACCAAAGAGAAAAAGAATCGGTCCGGGACGGAGTTTGCTACCCTTCTTTGCCCCCCCCCCTTCTTCCCATCTCTGAATAAAAAAAGCCGAGGCCGCATCGTGGAGCGCGGCTGAAAAAATGCGAAGAACACACACACACACACACACACCCCGCCGCCGCCAACAGCCCAGACAGCAGTTGCCTCCGGCGCCAAGAGCGGGACTGCCCTTCCGAGGGAAGTTTCCCCACTCCCGGCACACCCAGAGCCGAGCTCCCTTCCCCACCTGAGCGTGCAGCACACGGGAGCGTCTGTTCTCCTCCCCGCGTTTCGCAACGTTGATCCTTAATCACAGTGCGGGGCTTCCCCACCGAAGGAGCAAGCCGGAGCCTGGCGAGCCCGGGAACATCTGACAGTGTTTATCTACCAGGCGCCGCCCCACTCAACCAAATCGCCGTGGCGATACAAAACCCGCGAGGGGAGCAGGCCTACCGTCTTATTCCCCGAAGTAACAGAGAGCGAGTGGAAGCTTGTTAATGAGAGATCCGATCTAGAAGTACCGGTAACCAGAATTTTCTGAGAGAACAATTAATGGAACGGCTTGTCTCCCAGAGTTGTGGATGCTGTATCGCTGGAGCTCTTCAAAAATAGACTGGATCACCATTTGAGGGGGATGGAATAAGGTCTCCTGCCTTGAGCTGGGGGTTGGACTAGAAGATCTTTAAGAGGCCCTCTGACTCTGTGATTCTGTGTTCTGTGATTCCAGAACCTAGACTCAGGGCAGTGTTTCTCAGCCTTGACAATTTTAAGGCATGTGGACTTCAACTCCCAGAATTCCACAGCCAGCAATGCTGGCTGTGGAATTCTGGGAGTTGAACGTCCACATACCTTAAAATTGTCAAGGTTGAGAAACACTGACTCAGGGGTAGGCAACCTTGACTCTTTTATGACTCGTGGACTTCAACTCCCAGAATTCCTGAGCCAGCATGGCTCAGCTTGGAAACCTCTCCCTTTCCCCTCAGCATGGCTGGCTCAGGAATTCTGGGAGTTGAAGTCCACGATCATAACAGAGCCAAGGTTGCCTACCCGTGATTAAGGAAAAAAGCAAAGACAAAATCTATATGTGGACAATGCCTTTTGTTGGGCCAGACCTCAGAGTGAGCAAGGTTGACGCTCTCCAAAACTCTTCTTCAGAATTTTCTGGTTTCTGAAGGATAAATAAATTTCAGGATCAGGAGGTTTATTCTCCAGCCTCTTGTTTTTAAATATTTATCTTTAGGATCACGAGGCCTGAGCTTGAGCAGTTTGCCTAATTAACAGGAAGGAACTTTAAAGCAGAAATAGAAATGTCTTTGTTAGATCTACTCCAAGCATTGAATCCCCAGCCGAGTGTGGGATGGATGTGAGAAGTATAAAATCCAATCAGACATGAATAAAAAGATGATCCTGATGTTGCACCACTTGCTTCAATTCCAGCCCCAAAAGATATTAAACAAGGTTGCATTCTCACCACTATTTAATTGTTGCATGTGTGTTATGGCTCATGTGTTACCTAAGCAGGAATTTCATCATCCAAAATTATAGTCTGATTTCTTTGTTGCTATATGCCATCAGCACTATAATGTTCTTTATCACAAGCAGGTATTTTCTGCATATTCAGAATACAGATAGCCATAAGTCGAGGACTCTGTGTATTATGAATATTGATTCATTTACTTGCAAAATCCAGTCTGGGTTGGTTACCAGGACCAAAGGTTTAGTCTTCCAAGCTTTTGGACCGTGCTGGAGCCCATCCATCCCTTAGTAGTAATAGTAGTAAAGTTGGAAGGGACCTTGGAGGTCATCTAGTCCAACCCCCTGCTCAGGCAGGAAACCGTACACCATTTCGGACAAATGGCTGTCCAGTCTCTTCTTAAAAACTTCCAGTGTTGGAGCATTTACTGCTTCTGGAGGCAGGCTGTTCCACTGATTAATTGTTCTAACTGACAGGAAGTTTCTCCTTAGTTCTAGGTTGCTTCTCTCCTTGATTAGTTTCCATCCTTGCTTCTTGTCCTGCCTTCAGGTGCTTTGGAGAATCGCTTGATTCCCTCTTCTTTGTGGCAGCCCCTGATATATTGGAACACTGCTATCATTTCCCCCCTCGTCCTTCTCTTCATTAAACTAGACATACCCAATTCCAGCAACCGTTAGCCTCCAGTCCCCTAATCATCTTTGTTGCTCTTCTCTGCACTTTTTCTAGAATCTCAACATCTTTTTTATATCGTGGTGACCAAAACTGGATGCAGTATTCCAAGTGTGGCTCATCCTGAGGATAAGCTCCAGTAGGAGGCCAAAAGCTTAGAAGACAAAACTTCTAACCCCGGTGACTGACCCAGATTGAATCTTGCAATATTATCCTGGGGCACGTATATTTACATTCATTCATTCATTCATTCATTCATTCATTCATTCATTCATTCATTCATTCAGTGACAAAGGTTACAATAACCCTGAAAAAAGTGACTTATGACTGTTGCACTGCAGCATCTCCATGGTCATGTGATCAGAATTCAGATGCTTGGCAACTGATTCATATTTATGACGATTGCAGTGTCCCAGGATCATGTGATCACCTTCTGCGACCTTCTGACAAGCAAAGTCAATGGGGAAGACTTAACAACTGTGTTACTAACTTAACAGCTGCAGTGATTCACTGAACAACTGTGGCAAGAAAGATTGTAAAATGGATCCAAAATTCACTTAACAATTGTCTCGCTTAGCAACAACAAATTTGGATGGCCTGTATTGCTATGCTGAAAGGCAGTAATCTAAAATAAAGCTGGTGCTGCTTTTACCAAAGAATAGTCTGCCTAAACCAGTGGTTCTCAACCTGTGGGTCGGGACCCCATTTGGGGTCGAACGACCATTTCACGGGGGTCGCCAAACAACGCAGTCCACCATTTTTTCCCCCTTTTCCTTAGCTGTGCTACTCCCTTTTATTCTATTGGCTTTTGAAAGCCAATAGAATAGACTCTCTTGAATAGAGTCTAAATCTATTGGATTTCAAAAGCAATAGGAATTGTCCAGGCTGTCTCTGCCCTGCTGAGCCCGCCAAAAGTCCCATTCTGCAAACGGTGCTGCACCAGTTGAGTAGTCCTCGATTTACGACCGGTTGGGGGTCGCGGCATTAAAAAGGTTGAGAACCACTGGCCTAAATGGACTCTCAGTGGTTTCCCTCTTCAGCAGGTGAAAACCTTGAAATATCTAGTGCAGGGTTTCTCAACTTCGTTAAAGTTTGATAACTTTAAGATGTGCAGACTTCAACTCCCAGAATTCCCCATTTTGAAGCTTTCATAGTTGAGAAATACTGAATTCATGACATGACTGCATGCCTTGTACAATTATTAACTACTCTAGTTGTTATGGAAATAGTCTCAGTTGCTAGTGAGTTGTTTAAACCAAACAGTCTTTTGCTGTTTGGTGCCAGATGGTGCACTCTGATACTTCTTATCTCGAAGCTATTTCCTTTATTTAAAAAAAGAATTTTATTATCCCTGTTCTAATTTATCTTTCTTCCTTTTTTTCTTATTATTTAGCCCTGATAGAGTTCTTCAAGTTTTATTTATCTATTTCTCTTCAAGATTTATAAGCCCCTTCCCAAATAACTGCATGTACATGGAGGGAAGTACGCAGTGGATTATCTGTCTTAGGCCCAATACTCTTCAATATCTTCATCAATGGTTTAGATGGGGGGAGGGGTAGAAAGAGAACTCATCAATTAGCAATTGGCCGCTACACTATAAAGATGTTGAGATTCCAGAAAAAGTGCAGGGAAGAACAACAAAGATGATTAGGGGATTGGAGGCTAAAACATAGGAAGAATGGTTGCAGGAATTGGGTATGCTAGTTTAATGACGAAAGGACAAGGGGTGACATGACAGCAGTTATGTCAGGGGTTGCCACAGAGAAGAGGGAGTCAAGCTATTCTCCAAAGCACCTGAAGGCAGGACAAAAAGCAATGGATGGAAACTAAAGAGAGAAGCAACCTAGAACTAAGGAGAAATTTCCTGACAGTTAGAACAATTAACCAGTGGAACAACCTGCCTTCAGAAGTTGTGAATACTCTATCACTGGAGGTTTTTAAGAAGAGACTGGACAGCCATTTATCTGAAATATTTGCCTGAGCAGGGAGTGGAACTAGAAGACCTCCAAAGTCTTTTCCAACTTTGTTATTTTGTTAAAATAGCGTGACCAAGTGGCACACAGCATAAAAAGCAAAGAACACCCCATACCCCTCAAACCATGAGTATTTAAACAAAGAATCTTAGATTAAGAGGCTCAGAATGATAGAGCCCAAATCTCACCTTACATTGATTTGAGGATCTTTTTTGCAACCCTTTAGGATCCCCACAATACCTTTGTGAGATCATGTCCAAGATTGTTCACTTAGAAAGGGTCAATTCTTTGCCATCAATGCTGACAGAGGGAAGGCATCCTTCATTAAGCCTCCATTCAGAGAGCTGGCGTTTCTTCCAAGTCAGCTGCTGTTTCATTGTGATCATTGTCATCCTGTTTCTTGTCAGCTGTCCCCTGAGGTGGGTGGGAAGTCCTCCACTTCCTATTTTCATTCTTTTCACTGGAAGTTTGCCAAAATATCTCCAGCTGCTGCACTCTTACAGGAGATGGTTTGGGGGCTTAACGTTTATTTTTCAGGGACTCAACTACTCTAAATCATTTTTGCCAATCTTCCTTTGCTATATTGCATCTTTTATTCTTCATTACAGCGTTTTAATTTGATAATAGCAATAGCATTTAGACCAGTGGTTCTCAACCTGTGGGTCGGGACCCCATTTGGGGTTGAATGACCATTTCACGGGGATCGCCAAACAATGCAGTCTGC